CGCCTGGTGTACAGGAGATCGGGGGTTTGATCCCGACCCTGATGCCTGCTGTGTATTTTAGAGTTTGCGTGTCTCCTCTCTCCCGGTGGTCGCGTGGATTTTTTTCTTTGGGTCCTCCGGGTTTTTCCTCCACATTTAGAATCACCGTCACGCGTTTAGAGTAATTGGCTACACGTGAGTTACCACGTGATGATAAGCTACTTATTTGTGCTATCATTTGTGGCCAGGTCGCTTCTGAAAAAAATATCTCTGTCAGCTCAGAGGGCCTTACCCGTGGAACCCATCGCATCGACTTGCCCACCGAGATTTGTTGCAGGAGACTCACTCACGCCACCGCTCAGCATCCCGGCAAGCCACGGGGTACATCGCCAACACGTCACGTCCCACTGCCGTCGGCTTACACGAAAGGAGAAGTGCTACGGCACAGACGCAATTCCTGACCGCCGCAGCAGCAGCAGCAGCTGCGGGGCGAACCCATTCCTCTGACCGCCCGCAAGCAGACACGCATGTGAACTGCTCGTCTGCTTGGAAACGCTCTTCCTTTCGATATTAAGAAGCCACTTGAGATTGACAAACTCATTTCTTTAGAACACAGCCTTTTGTGTTTAGTTTGTTGTCCTTCCCCCGCACCTCCGGTTAGCACGGTTGGCTACGAGCGGTGCAAAAGAAGTTCAACATACAGACATGACCTATCCACTGCTAGATGTAGGCCTCCCCCAAATCGTCGCCTTCTCACGCGGTCCTGCGACACAACGATCGATCTCGCACCTGCACACGAGCTGATTTCACCGCTCCGTCTCCCGTGGGGGCCGTACTCCCAGACGCGTACCGCCCCTTGGCTACGTCTCCATGACTATTCTAGATCATCCACAAACCCTCCAGCAGCACGTCGTGCCCAGGCCCGCTTGCTCTTCTGAATTGTTTGGATGATGTCCATTGTTAGCCGTGCTTCTGAGCCGTGTGCCAAGAGCAAACCAGCGCGCACTGATTAAATCTGTCTTCCCGGCGTATTATTCCACGTTGTTTGCGCTTATCGAATTAAAAAAATAACGCCGTTTGTATCGAGTAGCGCCATGTACGCCACTGCATCGCACACCATTGCGTCATCCGCTACACACAGAGGCGGCGTGGAGATGATTTTCCCCCGCGCCTCCGATTATCACGGTTGGCTACGTCCAACATAGGGAGCACGTGTCCACCCAGTGAGAGTGTTCACAACGTGTGCGCGCAAACCCGAGTACCCAGAGAACCCCACAGGTGCGAGGCGGCAACACTTCTATCCCATGCAGATGGAACAGACGGATATGAGTCCACACGTCGCTGTACCCCATTCTCCACCGCCACCGCCGCCACCACCACCACCACCGCCACCACCACCACCACCACCGCCACCACCGCCACCGCCGCCACCACCACCGCCACCAGCACCGTCACCACCACCACCACCGCCGTCACCACTACCGCCGCCACCACCACTACCACCGCCACCACCGCCACCACCACCACCATCGCCGCCACCACCACCACCGCCACCACCATCGCCGCCACCACCACCACCAGCACCGTCACCACCGCCGCCACCACCACCACCGCCACCACCGCCACCACCACCGCCACCACCACCAGCACCGTCACCACCACCGCCACCACCACCGCCACCACCACCACCACCACCACCGCCACTACCACCACCACCGCCACCACCACCACCGCCACCACCGCCACCACCACCGCCACCACCACCAGCACCGTCACCACCACCGCCACCACCACCGCCACCACCACCGCCACTACCACCACCACCACCGCCACCACCACCACCACCACCGCCACCACCACCACCAGCCAGGGTTGATGGATCACACACAGATGGGCCGTGCAACTCCCTTCCCGTGGGCGTCGAGGAGGAGCGCGAATGTCGTGCGGTGCCGTGGTGAAATTTGACGTCATCATCGTCGTCGTTGTTGTTGTTGATATGCCACGTCGGTTGTTTGTGTTGTATGAACCTGACTTGACCACGCTGCTCAGTGAGGATTGGGGCAGTGGGGGACGCGGGGCTCAAGCCGCTGAGATGTCACTCCCCACGGCTAGCCACGCCTGGGAATCTAACTCAGGTTGCTGGGTTTTATAGCGTAGTGTGCTAACCGCAGCGCCACCCCTCCTGACCTTCATTGAATAAAAATGATGCGTAAGCACATTCCCACACACAGATTTATCTGTTTCTTGGACGGTGAAGTGTCACCGTGATGCACCGTTGGGCGACATTAGGATGCGTTTGTCACCGGACACGTCGTTTTTTCCCGAAACGTCCGCGGCGTGTGGGCGACACGCGTGCCTGAACCATTGTTGTTCCACCCGCGTTAACAACCACCCGCTTCCCGGTGTTCCGGACTCTGGGGGACGACACCGACTTCCTGCCGCCGGAGCCGGCCGCGGCGGAGCAGATGCCTCCTCGCAGCCTCTGGGCCTGGTGAGCGATCGGGGGTCTCACCGCAAGCCCCTTGCCCCGGCGCGGTGTTCGCGCGTGGAATCTCCCTCCCTCCCTCGCTCCCTACCTCTCTCGCTGTGCTCTCCCATCCGATCACGACACGGCTAAAGTGTCCCTTCCTGCCCGGGTTATGTCTTCACGGATTAGCGCGCTTGGCTACGTACGGTGCGAAAGAAGTTCAACGTACGTACATATTAGCCCAGCCTCGCGCCACATGTATGTTGAACTTCTTTCGTACCGTACGTAGCCACCGTGTGTCGCCAACCGTGCGATACGAGGCTGTGTGAGGCTACGGTCTCGATGTTTGCCGCGCGGAAATGGACGCGGTATTTTCAATGCTCATGGCTGCGATTTTCAAAAACGAAGTCAAAACCCAAATCTGCGAGTGTGTTGGGGCTTTTGTTTGCTCAGTCGCCTCCGGCTGGGCTGAGGGCGTCAATGCGCGAACTTCTGTCTCACGAGCGAGAAGCTGCCCGGGGCCAAGCCCAGGATGCCCACCGTGACGCCCCGGTCTGCCCACTCGAGGATGCAGACCACCGCGGCGCGCGGCGCTTCCAGATGCGCTTCTGCGACCGTCTGGAACGCTCTTGCTTCCAATATCAGGAAGCCACTGGGAGCTATGATGCACTTTTAAATCATCGTCTAGGTTGAAAGCTCATTTCTTAGGACTGCTTTAGGAAGGCCTTTCATGCAGCTGTGGATAGACCGTGGCACACGCAAGTGAACACTCTGCGTTTAATGGAGAGTGCGATGTCTCTCTCTCATCATCATCACGGTGGCTAGGAGATGTTAACCACCTCGCCTGGAATACAGGAGGTTGTGGGTTCGATCCCGACCCCTTGGCACCTGCTGTATATTTGGAGTTTGAATGTATGTCTCTCTCCCCGAGTCTTCTGGGTTTTCCCTCCACATTTAGTAACGTGTGCCTAGATTATTTGTCTGCCATGAATTTCCACGTGATGAGCGACTTCGTTGAGCTATCATTTATGGCCAGGTCGCTTCTATAAAAATAAAAAAAAAATTGATAGTTTAGTTTAGTTACGTACCATTCCGATAAAACAACATAACCTTGCACACCAGGTGAACTTTGGCCAAGGTCTCCACGAAGTAACAACAGCACGTGGCTTTTGCCAACAATCAATTATTAATATCGTAAAACAAGCGCACGCCACGGGCGAAGAGCATACACCCTTAGAGGGAGGAAATCAATGTGGGGTAATAAACGGCAGTGCCAAGCCAGTCCATTAAGTGAGCCTCCTCTGCTTGTCGATTAAAATGTATTAAAACCAAAACCGTAGACCGTCAGACGAACTCATTATCCACTGGTTTAACATGTTGGCTTTCGGTACCAATATCATCCATAATACAGGTTTTTTTTGGGTTAGATCGCGTAAATATATAAATGTGTCGTTAAACCCACCACCACCCGACACAGCTCGGCACAAATTAACCACGACACCTCGCTGATCTCGTCAAGGAGCACAAACCATCATCACGTCAACTCCTCCGGTGGTCATCATCATAGCAGTAGCAGCAGCGGCAGCGGCAGCATCATCAGCAGCAGCAGCAGCATCATCAGCAGCAGCGGCAGCAGCAGCTCTTGGCTGCTGCCATCACACAAAGGCGGTGGTCACCGCATCGCGCGGCGCTTTCAGATGCGCTTCCGCGGCCGTCTGGAAAGCTCTTCCCTTCCGGTACTGTATTAGGAAGCTACTGGAGCTATGAACTTTTTAAATTTAGATTGAAAACTCATTTCTTGAGAACTCCTTTTTGTGTTAATTGTTTTTGTCCTTCCTCGCACCTCCGGTTAGCACGTTTGGCTACGTACGGTGCGAAAGAAGTTCAACATACAAACATGAAGTTTTACATACATGTTAGCCATGGCCAGGGATAGAACCGACGCCCGCTGGTTTGCAAATCCAGTGTGTCAACCGCTACGCCACGGCGGCATCCCATGGATATTTGTATATAGACATCACTCAGCATCGCCTTGCATCTGCGTGGAATATCATCCTCTTGCGAGAAGCAGCGGACAGAGCAGGGAAAACCTCCACCAGCAGCGTAACATTGATGTGATGATTGGATAGTGTTGTATGGATCACAGTGATGACGATGATGGTGGCGATGAATGAATAATGACGTATGAATGATGCTAATTATGATAGTGGTGGCGATGAATGGATATTGACGTATGGATATGATGATGGTGGTGGTGATAAATAGATAATGATGTATGGATGATGATGATGATCATGGTGGTGGTGGTGATAAATAGATAATGATGTATGGATAACGACGATGATGATGGTGGTGGTGATAAATAGATAATGATGTATGGGTGATGATGATGACAATGATGGTGACGATGTATGGATGATTGTGTATGCATGATGATGATGGTGATGGTGACGATGTATGGATGATTGTGTATGCATGATGATGATGGTGATGGTGACGATGATGGTGACGGTGACAATGTATGGATGATTGTGTATGCATGGGGACCTCTCACCTTGGAGGACACAGCACATCCTCGAGAAACTCCTCGATCTTGATGGTGTCCGTCTTGACTCCCCCGTTGTAGGTGAGGAAGGGGGGCTGGGTGCCTGGAGCGAGCTTTGCGAGACTGGCCGGCTTCCTGGCACCACACGGACAGCGTCAGCGCAGCGGCGTTAACGCAGCGCGACGAGATCGCGCGCGGGGAGTTTGGCGCGCGCTCGAGTGACTTAGAAACAACGTGAGACTGGGATGTGTCTCGCCACCTGAAAATGAACCGACATTTAATTTCATCGGCCCTTGGTCGCTTAAGCAAGCGAGTGGCAGCTCTGAGAATGAAAGTAACTCGCTGGAATTGTACGCAGAGAACATTGCTCCCAGTGGCAGGGCGGGTGGGAAGATGCTGCTCCCGAATGTGTGGAGTGGAGGTCATTTGAAGGGATCTCAGAGGTAACTCTGTGTTGTCCGCCTCCTTTGGCCACACGTGTGACGCGTCCCATCAGCCACGCGGCCTTCTGGGAGTGCATTTTGCAGCGGCATCAGTTTGATCCAAGTGATCGCCGGAGCCGTTTCGACGTTGCGAGTCTCATCAGCAGAGCCAGGCCTGGGTCACTGATGCTGCTCAGTTGCCTGACGTCATGGGCAAGAGCCCTCCCCGAAGACCGTGAACCCGTCCAGCGAAAGTTAGAAAACTTTTTCAACAAATAAACATTCCGCACTGCGATGGTTCAGAAGGCCCACAGAGCGATGAACTAAAACTCCGTGAGATTTTGTCTGCAAAATGAAACAGGCTTCCATCTGCTAATTCAATAAATAATTGCCCACAATGCACCACCGCGGCGTGTAATGGAGTCGTATTGCTGCGACTTCTGTGTCGCAGCTCCGATCGTCCGGCACTCGCTCCCTCGTCTCTCGCTGCGTCAGCGACGTTCTCCTGCGGGAGTCTCCAGACGTCTCCCTCTCTCTTTGACGAATTCTCTGGTGCCTCTCAATGTCCATTTTAAGTTAAATTGTGCACGTCATGAAAGTGGTCGACTAGAATGGTCTCACCAGATGAAGCCCACCGAGCCATCAGCTCTTTATCAGAGGCGACCTGGCCACACATTGTAGCTTATCGAAGTGGCTTATATCACCATTTGGGAATCTACAGGAGCAGCCACATAATCTAAATCGCAGGTTTCTAAATGTGGAGGGTAAAAACCGAAGGAAGCCGGAGAACAATCCACGCGACCACGGGGAGAGAGAGAACTCGCGAACTCCAAATACACAGCAGGCGTCACGGTCGGGATCGAACCCACGACCTCCTGCGCACCAGGCGAGGGATGTAACATCTCCTAGCCACTGTGGCCCCCCAATGAATGAATAATGAACGAATAGTGAATGAATAATGAATGAATGTACCTGCGTGGGTCGACGAGGACGATCTTGAACTCGGCTTTCTTGAGGCACAGCAGCATGAAGAGGCGCTGCGAGAAGGGGCAGTTCCCGATGCGTTCTCCGTCGGTGCCGGCCTGAGAACGCACACAGACAAAGACCCCCCGTATAGCCTTTAACAGACTGCTGGGACAAGTGCCTTTAGCGAGTAGCGGCACCTTGAGAAGGTTGGACGGGCGCACGTCACACCTGGCCGCCTCCGTCTCCCCAGCGCTGATGTTTACACACTGCACCAGGTAGCCATTTGAGGCTGAGTCGACCTAAGGGAGGGCTATGACCAGTTCGAATATCCGCTCCCCTGTGAATACACACACCACCGACTACACCGACCACATTAAGGCGCAGCCCCTGCAATTTCTTGCTGACGCCACTGCTCGTGAAAAGGGTCTTCATTGGAGGGTGGCCCAGAGAGTTCCCTCCAGAGTGTATTTGGCCTGCTCTTCCACACAGGCGAGATGCCTCGGCAGAGGAGGGAGCGCCTACACTTGACCCCAGCACCCACGACCTGCCGACCATGGACTGTGCTGCACCCACGGGTGGACAGGCACGGGGCGAGCACTCGAGAAACTTGCGCCGTTGTTGCCACTGCCGCGCCGGGAGGTCGACTCAGCGACCTCGCGAGCGCCGCGTGCCGCTCGCCGTGGCACCAGCGTGGCAGCAGCCGCCGGACAGAGCCACGATATTCCTGGGAGGCTCAACAGGGGCACGTGGTGAGCGGGGGGCAGCCTCTGCGACTCTCACATAGCCCGACCCCCACGTGCAGTGGCCTCCTCCTAGCCGCTGCTGATGTATGTACAGGGACGCCTCGACTTACAAACGAGTTAGGTTCCAGAGGTCTGTTCGTAAGTCGATTTGTTCGTAAGTCCAACTTGAATTCCGTCGATTACAAACGTACTCTTTGGGTCTTTCGGTGAAGTCACGTAGATAGAACAATAATAGATCACGACGTTTCGATCGCAACACAGGCGATCGTCTTCAGGTGAGAGATCACAAACAAATCAAGTTTCAGATGCTGTCTTTCCGACAGACCTGTTCTTCACCTGAGGATGGCTGCTTGCGTTGTGGCCGAAACGTCGTGAGAATTGCATTTTATTATGCTTTATATTTTTATTATTTCATTATTTCCCTTCTACGTGACTTTACCGAAAGAACCAAGAAGATGAATCCCTGCAGTCACGAAAGAAGCTTTACATCGAGATTTAAATCAAGATGACGAACGTGCTGTACGGCGTGTACACTCAACACGGGAAATGCCTTTAAAAGTTGAATAATCGCCTGTAGATGTAGATTCCACTGGTTCTTCGTGTCCTGCAGATGTAGATGCCACCACCACCATCTATTGCACGGCGGTTGAACTCACGATTCTCGGTCCGGACAGGCAACCGGACATACGGACAGGTTTGTTCGTATCTCTGAAAGTTCGATAGTCGAACGTTCGTAAGTAGAGGGGTCCCTGTATGTATGCTGAACTTCTTTCGCACCGCACGCACCCAACCGCGCGAATTGGAGGCGATGTTGTGCCTCTCTGCTGCTCTCAGGGCCCCGGCAACTCATCCGCCAACTCGGCTCACTGCTCAGGTGGTGGAGTCCGAGGACAGACAAGATGTTAACCGAGTGCCACAAAGTGGCATCACCACCACTTAGTGGCAAATGGCAGTTGTTGTTGTTGTGCTTGCTAGCCCCTCTATGTTAGCCAACCCGGCGTTCAACGGCGACAAACCCCGTTTTATGACAGTCTCATCATGATCGGCATTCCTTTTTAAAGTTAGAACGTCCTAGATTCCGCTGCGATGGAGGGGTAACCACTCCCTGGACAAACACTGCGATTTGACCAAAGTCAACACGACAATGACGCCGTTTGTTTTTATTTAATCCCCAGCGCGAGCAGATCCACAGTCACCCACGCGTGACGCATTCCGCCCTCGTACACACCGGGCAGGCCACGTGCCACCATTTCCACTGCGGATCAAACCCAGACATGTCTCAGCCGGTACCGCGTCTTATCAAGAACCTGCAGTCGAGTATTATAAAGTCCAACACGAGATCTCGGGTACAAATAATTTACCGGCATCTGAACACAGGTGCCAATTCCCTACCAGGTGCCCCCCCCCCAAGTGCATAGATGAGTGAAATGCCGAGTGAGTGGGGTGGGTAAGCGAGCGAGCGGATGTGAGTTACTGAGTAACCGGACCAATGAATCGGTGATTGAGTGGGTGAGGTAGTGAGTGAGTGAGCGGTAGGGTTGCCACCTTTTGCACAATAGACCAAACACAGACATATTTATCTGTGTGAAACTTCCATTGCACCATACATAGCCAACCGCGCTAATTAGAGGTGCTGTGTTGTTTTACGGTAATAAAGTCGGGCTCAATACCGGTACTAGATCATGGTATTAATGAATTCCTGCCTGCCTGAACACGGATGCCAATTCCCAGTCTGTACCAGGTGAAACCAAGACACGTGGCAATCGCAGCACGTGCCTCAATATAAAGTCGCGCATGGCAAAGGTCAAAAGGTTAAATTCGTTTCTTGTGCAAGTGAGTGCGGGGGCTGGGACTCATCTCCCTGAGCCAGTGGTGGCAATTCCCCATCCCGATGCTGGAGGTGAGTCTGTCCGTAGATTGAACATAATTAACATCTCGCGGTGGAGCTCTCATGAATTATTATCAGCCGTGGGGGAGCTGAGTCGGCTCGCGGCCGGGATTTGAACTCAAGATTTCGACTCGAGCACGCGCCCCAGTTCCATCACGACTCAAGCGCGCTCCATGTACAGCTGTTTTGTCGGGAGAGGGAGGGGGGGCAGTTATTTGACCATACTTCACCACGCTCGCCAGTAGTGTGGGTTGGTGAACGTGGGGAGCATTTAATATTAGGGCTGCCACCTTTTCCCGCTGCAGACCAAACCCGGACGACATCTCTAAGTCAGCACTGGGTCTGTGGTGAGAGAGGGTGCAGGACGCGACTGTCACTGGGTCTGTGGTGGGAGAGGGTGCAGCACGTGACTGTCACTGGGTCTGTGGTGAGAGAGGGTGCAGCACGTGACTGTGTCATGAAGTTCAACAAGGCAATGACGACACCAGATCTCGCACACAGATTGGCATCGGTTCGAATGTAAACTGGGCAGGTGTCGACCCTCGAGTATAGATGTACAGTACAACGATGGATGTTATGCACTGCCCTGTGCTCCCCACCGCATATTCCACGCAGCAGCCATCACGTGTCTATGAATGCAGCACTTCTTTCTCACCGTACGTAGCAAGCCGTGTTAATCGGAGGTGTGGGGGAAGGACAACAAACTGAACACAAAAATCAGTTCCATAGAAATGGGATTTCAATCTAGATTAAAATCGCCTAGCTCCAGTGGCTTCCTTATAGCAGAAGAGCTTTCCAGACGGCCGCACAAGCGCATCCGAAAGCGCCGTCTTCGTTCGATGGCGCAGCCAAAAGCCGCCGCCGCTGCCGCTGCGAGGATGACCACCGGGGGAGTTCGCGTGATGATGGTTTATGCCCCTTGACGAGATCGGCAGCGAGGTGTTGTGCTTCAGTTGTGGCGAGCACTTTGTGTGCGTGCAACGACCTTCCGTCACGTTTCATTCATCTGGCGGTGAGGGCGAGGAGGTCATTCGGAGCACGGCTAACATCGGTGGCGAGTCGCTTCCGTACCAGTTGAGTGTTTCTATATCGCCACCCTCTATGCCCACTTCACACAAGTCTGCGCTGACCGAGCGAGGTGGAAGTTTGGCACAATATCCCGCAGGACCCACACGGCCCTGGGGAGGCCGCATGCAGCAGCGAATGGACGCGCACCTGTGCAGGTGTGCAGGTGTGCACAGGTGCGCAGGTGTGCGCAGGTGTGCAGGTGCGCGTGCCGTATCCTGCCGTATGCGCCTCTGGGCTTTCCTCGCACCCACAGTCGGAATATGTATTTGTATTGGAGGAATCCGACGAGCTGTAAAGCTATTTTTTCACAACCAACACCACACAGAACTGTCGTTCAAACAAAATTGGCCAAACATTGTGGTGCAGGACCCTGCTGAAGCACGGGAGAAAATCCTTGGCACATGCAACGCTTTCTGTCCTTGGCCATGTGCACTGCACTTTATTTAATCAACGGAATGGAGCGCTGTCAGGATAAAACACCTCTGTTGTGTTTGCTGCCTTGCCTAAGCTTGCGACATCGGACGTATTATATAATGAAGCTACAATTCATATTTAGGGACTTGCTCACCATTTTCTCCAATTTGCATTCCTATCGTCGTCGTCGTTGTCGTTGTTGTTGCATTTGCTGTTGTAACTTTGCAGATTCCGTGCCCATGCCGGACATCTGTACAACAAGCGCTTCGTAGCTCATCGGATTCCCCCTCCCCAAGTCTAAATAAACATTCCGATTGTTCTTCTTGGTTCTTTCGGTAAAGGCACGTAGAAGGGAAATAATAAAATAATACAAATGAAACATAATAAAATACAATTCTCACGACGTTTCGGCCACAACACAAGCAGCCGTCCTCAGGTGAAGAACAGTTCTGTCGGAAAGACAGCGTCTGAATGAACAGGTTCATTGTATTTTATGATGTTTAATTTTAATTATTTTATTATTTCCCTTCTACGTGACTTTACCGAAAGAACCAAGAAGATGAATCCCTGCAGTCACGAAAGCTTTAAATCGGAAAATTCCGATTGTTTATGTACAATATGGGTTTCTAAAGCGATCGCTTGTGTCCGCACGTCTGGGCGAACCACTTTGATAGACGTGGCCGCTGTTTGTTTAAAATCTACGGCGAAGGCGACTCCACATCGTGCCATCTCGGCGTTCGTTACCGTGACCCCCAACGCCGTCGCTGCTGACGAGAGAGTCGGATGGACGCGACTAACTCGAGTTCGTTGCAGTGAAAGTTTTAAAAATGTCTTGAGACTTGGTTGGTTAGAGCTTGGAGCAGGCCGACGGGCTCTGCTCGTGCTGACACGACGCTGCTGGAAGCGGCGACTCGTGCCGAGGGCACGCGCGGCCCACGTGGCGTCCTGTCGGGAATACTCGGAGGGGGCTTCAGTCTGCGGAGAGATGGATACGCGGGGCAGACCACCGCCTGCCATGTTTGTTTGTTGTAGTACAGAGTTAGACTGATGGCCTTAATCTAAGTTGTCTTGTGGTTGTTGTTGGTTGTTTGACTTGCATCCCACTGGGATTTGTGCACACAGCGTTGGTGTACCGGTGGTTTTTTCTGCAATATTTAGCTGTCTTTTCTTGGATTTTCTGTTTGCACTCAGTCACATATTCACTTTAAGATGTTTTTTATTCATGTTTTTGTTTTTTGTTTGTTGCGGTTGCACCCGATTCAAGAGCCGAATGGCTCACAGGGCTACACCTAATACATGAACTTGAACTTGAACCTGCCTGCTGACTCCTCGAAACGTGGCATGCGTCTCTGTGCGCTGCTGATGTCGCTGATGCCACTAAGACTGCTGCTGCTGCTCTTGATGCTACTGTTTCTAAATCTTGACTTAGAGCTTTCGTGACTGCACGAATTCATATTCTTTGGGGTCTTTCGGTAAAGTCACGTAGATCATGTTTTTGTTATTTTCTTTGAACCTATCTACGTGACTTTACCGAAAGACCCAATGAATATGAGCTACTGATGTTGTCATTGCTGCTGTTATTGCTGCTACTGCTACAATCGCTACACTTGCTGCTGCTGCTATTGCCACTGCTATTGCTGCTACAATAGCTACTCTTGCTGCTGCTGCAGTTGCTACTGTTGCTGCTACAATCGCTACTCTTGCTGCTGCTATTGCTACTGCTGCAGCTGCTGCTACAATCGCTACTCTTGCTGCTGCTGCTGCTTCTGTTGCAATCGCAGCTGCTGCTACAGCTCTCGCAACTGCTGCTCTTGGTGCAGAAGGAAGTTGCTGCTGATTTTATCTCGGAGTGCGTTATGAAGCCAGGAAACGGGCCCTCCCTTACGTTACAATTACACCAGAATACACAAGTATTTATATGCATGTACTTTTTTGCCGAACCTAATCGGCGACACGGTGTTTAAACGAGTTGAAAGCGTTTGGAAAATCAATAGCATGCATGAATATATATACGGACTTTATAAAACATAATGTAATAAAGGACAAAGCTCCCCCGTGTAGCCTTAATGGACTGTTGGGGCAAGTGCTGTTAGCGAGCACCTATGAAGGTCGGCACGGCACACGAGGGGGTGGGTGGCCAACACCACGCCCGGCCGCCTTTGTCTTCCCAGTGGCGATATTTACATATCGCACCAGGTACTCATTTGAGGCTGAATCGACCTAGGGGAGGCCCAGGACCGGTTCGGATAACCGTCACTGATGGTGTTGTCCACATCTATGTGACCACGATACAGTACAACCATAGTAGACCACACGGTTGGGGCTTGTGCTGTTAGCGAGCACCTATTAAGGTCGGAAGGGCGCACGGCCTGAGTGTTGTGGCCTAGCGCCACTCCCGGCCGCCTTTGTCTCCCCAGTGATAATGTTCACGCACCGCATCACCCGCGTAGTCGTTTTAGGCCGAGCAGACGTAGACGAGACCCAACACACGTCGACATCCAGTCTATTGTACTGTACCGCGAGGCACACAACGGATGGGGTCCCTAGCCGGGATTGGAACCAGGGAGGCGAATGCGCGAACCACCCCGCTCCCACCGCTGCACGTGGACTTCACCACCACACGAGCCTTCCCACTGCACATGGACTCCACCACCACACGAGCCTTCCACTGCATGTGGACTCCACCACCACACGAGCCACGCCGCTGCACGTGGACTCCACAACTACACGTGGCATCCCCACACTCCAACATGACACACATTGACAACCACAGTGTGGGGGGGGGGGGGGGGCACGGAGTGGGTGGGCTTAGTGGACCTGCGCGGTGTGGCTGACGTATCTTCACGCACCCCCTGGGACCCTGCGGACCCCCTGGGACCCTGCGGACCCCAGATTATTCCCCCGTATGGGACCCCCCCCCACACCCCCACCTCCGCCGGGGGTGACCTGCAGACTTCGCGGACGCACGTGTCGCGACTTGTCTCATCATCCACGACTTATCTCATCATCCACATCTCTCATCATCCACATCTCTCATCAAGGCTGTAGCCATGGAGTCAACATGGGGGGGGGGGGGGGACCAAATCTTCCAGGGGGTCTGGGGGTCCCAACCCAGAAAAATATCTAAATTAGAAAACTCATTTCCTGCCTAAAATATAAAAAAATGCACAACGCATGAGATGGACTTTTTTTTTTTTTTTTTTACCATAATGTCTAATAGTGTATTGTATTACTTTGCTCTGTTTTTACTTTTTTACCATTTGTATGTAATGGCAGAGATTGGGGATGAATAAAGTACAACCATAACCACAAGCATATACACAGAAATCTACGCATTTATTTATATGAAGACAAGTCCAGATATTGTGGCCAAGATTTAGAAAAAAAATGTATTTACATAGCATAGCAATTATTTTTTTCATAGCAATATATTGGGGGCGGGGGCATTTTGAGCATATTTGAATATTGGGGGGGATGTGTCCCCCCTAATATATATTATAATTACGGCCTTGTGTCTCATCATCATCCACGACGTCTCATCATCATCCACGACGTCTCATCATCATCCACGACTCGTCTCATCATCATCCACATGTCTCATCATCATCCACGACCTGTCGTCTCACCTTCACGAAGAGTTCGATCACAGGGGCTCGCTCCCGAGACATCTCCGCTGCTGCTGCTGATGACTCCGTTATTCCCGTCTCCCTGCTGCTTCTGCCGCTGCGTCTCCTCACACTGCCCCTCCTCCTGGGGCTTACTTCCTCTTTTTGTTGACGGTGCCGCTCTCGCTTCTGCTCCTCCTACTGCTGCTGCCACTTCTCCTGCTGCTGCTTCTCCTACTGCTGCTCCTTCTACTGCTGCTACTGCTGCTCCTCCTACTGCTGCTGCTCCTTCTCCTGCTGCCACTCCTGCTGCTGCAGCCACTTCTCCTGCTGCTGCTCCTCCTACTGCTGCTGCTGCTCCTTCTACTGCTGCTACTGCTGCTCCTCCTACTGCTACTGCTCCTTCTCCTGCTACTGCTGCTGCCACTTCTCCTGCTGCTGCTCCTCCTACTGCTGCTGCTGCTCCTTCTACTGCTGCTACTGCTGCTCCTCCTACTGCTACTGCTCCTTCTCCTGCTACTGCTGCTGCCACTTCTCCTGCTGCTGCTCCTCCTACTGCTGCTGCTCCTTCTCCTGCTCCTGCTGCTGCTGCCACTCCTGCTGATGTTGATTCTGCTGCTTCTCCCGATGCGTCTACTGCTGCTGCTGCCGCTGCTGCTGCTGCCGCCTGTGACGTGAGCCGAGAGATGCCTCCCGGTGCGCGCCCCCCGCATCCTGCAGCCCCCACCCCCCGCGGGCTTCCTCCAAGTGGCTCGCACGGAGCGGAGTGGTGGCGCAGTGCTTAGCGCGGCTGTGCGACGAACCTGCGACGGCCCAGTTCGATTCTTGGCCACGGCTAACGTCGGGTGACATGTTTGGGACTGGGTCTGCCCCCCCTTCTCCTCCTCACTCACCAACCCGCATTGACCAGCGTGTTGAAGTATGGTCAAACTCCCCCCCCATCCCGCCATGATCAACCTGCCTCATTCATGGTTTGAGAAAAGCTGGATTTTTATTTAAAACATATTTACGTTAAGACTGAGGCTCAGGATTGCACAGCACTTCGATGTGGTGTTTCTGCGTTGTCGCGTGGTCGTTCGGCATGTTGTCCGACGTTTCGCGCCACGTGCTGGGAATTCAGTTCGCTGAAGAAGTGGCAGCAAGTCGAGAACACGTGGCGCATTGGGATGTCCGGCCAACTCCATTGGCGGGTGCACAGCGCGCGCGCGTGTGTGTGTGTGCGTGTGAAGAGCGCGCGTAAGAGGGGATAACACTGGGACGAGTCCGGACATACTTGCTGTACTGCCTCCTGGGGGCGCCTCGCTGCTGCAGGCGCGTGTATGTATGTTGAACTTCTTTCGCATCGTACGTAGCCAACCGGTGGTGCGGAGGGAAGCACAACAAACCGAACACAAAAAAAATGCGGGTGTCTCAGAATCTCATGATCATCCACCAACCCTCATCGCAGCGCCAGTTACTTACCCAGCAGAGCCACTCCCGAGTCTCAGGACGCAACCTTTGAAGAGGGTCCTGCATTGTTGATACTTGATACAGCAATCGTGCTGTGACGGTTCCACATGAAGACGGAAGCTTGTGTTGCCTCCGAAACGTCGTGATTTTTAATTTTACTTTTATTAATTTAAATTTTATTTTTACCTACGTGACTTTACCGAAAAAACCTAAGAGTATTGTGGGGGGTGTTGTGGCCAGCGCCTCCCTGTGGGAGTCTGTCGTGGTGTGCGGTACGGGGCTGACGGAGAAGCCCGCCACGCGTGCGAGGACGCAGCCAGAACAACATCTCGGGGACTCGGCTCGCAACCCTCGTCGCTGCACTGCCACCTGCCGGCCTTCTGGCGTCCCTTGGGTCGCTGGCGTTCCTCTGCTGTGTTCGCCCGTCGGCGTTCACTGGCCTCGCACTGGTGAGACAAAGGCCGCAAATAGTGGCTGTCTCTGGTGGAGGATAATCAGTTCCAAAGCCAACGCGCATATTGTCGGAAAATGTTTAACGCGACCAACATGATACGTAACACATGTGTTTTGGGTTAGATCGCGTAAATATATAAACGCTGTGTCGTTAAACCCGCCACCACCCGACACAGCCAATTAGTAAGGTTTGTCACGTAAACAGAACGTGCCAATTGTTGTAAATGTTGGGGCTTTGCTCTCCAATACACCAGTTAGTGCTGTACTAGTGACGAATTGGCACGTTCTGTATACGTGACGACACCTTACTAGTTGGTTATCAAAGCCACGTGGTTGTTTGCATGTTCACCACGAGTACTGTGTAATTCATGCAGTACAATATTCCTTGAAAAATTTTTCTTATGTCGTGTTTGAACATCTCAACACACCTCCTGTTATATTACCAGAAAGGATAAAAAAACAACCCCATTGTGACGTTTCATCAGCCGCCTACCTGGCACAGCGGCTGCACTGGGAGCTTCCCCGAAGCGAGCGTGACCCTTTGACCCCCGTCTCGCCTCCACGTCGCGGTCACTGGCGCGCGCCCCCCGAGGGTTGGGAGATGTCGAGTCTTGCCCCCGGCACGTGCCAAGTGTAGCGGCTTTCGTCAGTTCGCATCATAAACATGAAGGGGCCAAACGCCACAAACTCAAGACGAAGCATTAACACGTGGGTGCTTCTCCTCGTGGTGGTTCTCGCGCCACTCTTCTCCTTGTGAGATCCACCCGTCCCCCTTCAACACATGTCCCGGTTTTGTTTGTAAAGGTGGCAACCCTGGACGGTGACATGGCCTCACCTTGGCATACGCACCGCTGCAAATTCTGGACGGGAAGGGCCTTGTGGCCAGAGACCTTTGGGCTCCGCTGTGCGGCCTCAGTGTACGTCTCTCGGGAGCGGCGTCCTTCACTGCAAGGCCCGCAGCCCCCCTGGCGGCCCCCGACAACACACAGCGAGTGAGGATCCTCCCCATCATCATCATCGTGCTGCTGTCAAACCCACAATGGTTTCAGATGGTGTGGCGGCCCTCACACCGACGATGTCTCATCGGGGGAGAGTGGCACCTCCTCTGAATCGTAGCGGCCGCGCGTTCGCCGCTCGTTGCAGAAAGTCCACGGTTTGAATCCCAGCGGCCGCCCTGGTTAACACGAGCGGTGTTGACAACCACGACCACACGACGCGCTGTCCGCTTCACTCGCGGTGTACGTCTAAGACCCCCCCACCCACCCACCCCCTGACGTCAATCGCAAGAGGAGGAGGGCCGCTGCGATTGGGACTCATCTCGACAGGAAGCCCACATGCCCCAGGTGACTCTGGCAAATATCGAGACTCATCCCGGCCTCACGAGCTGTCACCCGCGGCACTGGCAAAATGCACTTGAAGCGTGATGCGTGCACCGCTCGGGGAAGGGATCCAGTGGAGGGAGAGGCGTCACCGGCCGTCGCCTTGCGAATGTCCCCCACGGTACGGGCCGTTGGTGAACCCGTGACCTTGCCCTGGGGTCATTGCCGTGCTCCCCGAGTCCTCTCTCGATTTTTATACAAACCCCAAAAAAAACTTGACGACAACATTTCGTCTCCCACAGCCGGTGAACCTCGGCCTGCCACAATCTGCTGCACGATGATGCGTTATTCAATTGTAATTAAAATATTTAGCCGATTGTTTCGTACGATACGAAATTATTGTTGAGTGCTGGGAGTCAATCAGAACTGCTTCTTGTTGCTGTGTTGTGCTTAGTTTGTTCTCCTTTACCCCCGCACCTCCGATTAGCGCAGTTGGCTACGTACGGTGCGAAAGAAGTTCAACGTGCATGCATTAAATGGCACATTTTATTATTTAGCAATTGTTTAACAAATGTTCAACATCCAGGTCACACACAGCCGGCAATGCCGTCGTCTGCACGAGCTCAGCTTTCGAGAGGTTTTGCTGCAATTTTTACAGAGCACTACAAATACCATCATCGTCATCATCCCAGAGGGGTCGATACAATGGACACCACTTTGTGGGGAAGTCAATAGTGGTCGTCCTACGGATAGACTCGTCCCACCATAGGAACGTGGAATTTCCACCACCAGCTCAGCACTGTTAAACACAAGAGGACTACTGCCTCACTGCTCAATTCAGCACGAAATAACACGAAGGTTTAATTACCAATAGCTTTAAATAACATGAATAATAATGCAATTTATTCCGGAAAGCCCCAACGAGTCTCAGAACTCTTGTCGCAGGCTGGTCCTGCATTGGGATGTTGAGCTATTTCCTTATCAAAAAGTCAAAAGTGATTTCTTCGCCCAGAAAATCACTCACGACTCCGAACCTTCCACTTGAACTGCAATCCAATTACTTAGAACTACCGCGATGAAAACCTGGCGTCGCCGTGCACGCAACACGGCCTTAAACAACATAAACACTGCACCCGAGGCAGTTTGCCAATAAATATCTTTAAAACGAAAAGCTTTAGTCCGTCAAAATCGTCCTTTGTTTTTGTTTTGTATCCAGGAACGAAGCGTCCACGACACGCCGTGGCTCAGCGGGACACCTCTCACCGGAGGCACCTTCGTGGACACCGAGGGTCACGTGACCTCTCCTCATCCGACACAAGTTTTCTGACACACGACCTTGAGCTTCTGCACGGCAAAGTCACCGCGTCGCATACATTGTGTGCGTTTCCTTCCCCCGCACCTCCGACTGCGAGAGACGTTCAACATACATACAACTGAGCATCACATTCTTATATTCTGCACGACTCACTTTCTTCAGATGTGTAGAACGTCCGGGCTTACAGCTTATTTAATTGGAGTAGCGTGGGAGATTTTTTCCCATGGCGTCAGAACTAAAAACACGCACAATGGGTATAGCTTAATGAACACTGCAATTCAAACGCACACCGCAATACTGAACGCGATCTCCTAAAAATAAAACACATAAATATCGACCGTGCACGTTTTCACGTCTCCCACTGCCGCGCCGTCCGCTCCGTGGCGGCAGAGCGAGCGGCCGTGGTCGCAAAGGTCGCGAGGTCAAATCCCGCTCGCGGGTCCAACTCGGCCCATCATCGTTGCGAGGCAGATAAAACGAACGGCACCTTCCTGAGCAAGTCGACTGTGGTCGTGCTCTGAAGCTCGTTCTCACAGATGCCGAGTAGACCACCAGCTCATACCCCCCCAGCCACCCCAGCCCCCCACTCTATGTCCACCCAGTGGCTCAAAGGCTCCGAGTCCAAATCCTGGAATCAATAGTGGTTGACTTTATGAGGCTAAACTTGTCCCCGCCATACAAATGGGGAATTTCCAGCACTGGATTTGGGCTTCTAAACCACTCGAGCAAATACATTTGTGGGCTTGTTTCCCTTTTGTTTCCTTTTTGTTTCCCTTTTGTTCCCCTTCACGGTAGCGGGAACGCAGCACGGTCAGCCTGGGACAGCGGCGCCCCCCCCACAGCCTCTCATCCTCCATATCCTTCACTCTTCTCCCTCGTCACTAACTATCATCTCTGACGTGCGACTTCATCTACCTTCCAATCCTCAGTCTCATCCCCTCCAGTTATGAGGTGGGTCGAGTGGGGGAGAGAACCCTCACAAGTGGGCTATGAATGTGCACATTAAATGTGTTTTTTTTACGATCTCTGTAATACTCTATATTTATCCTTCAGTGTTGAATTTGGCGAGTAAACCCGGGTCTCGCTTGAATCTCGCAGTCTCAGTGGGCCCTGGTCATCTGCTTGATGTAGAACAAAGGGAGGAATTGGGGGGAAATGAGATAATGTGAGTGAGACCAAACAGTTCGTAGTAATAATAATGATGATGATGCACGACTAATTGTTTTGGGGGCCGGCCACTTAACGATTTGTGTCGTAAACACCCTCCACCACCTGCCGACGCAGCCAACCAAATTAAAAATAGTCGCAAGAGTCGAGCTCACAAATGATGATGATTGTTTTCAGCTCAGTTGCCGGTAAAAGGTGAGGAACAATTCTCAGAAGCAGAATGAGAAGCGGTGAAATACGATGACGATTTCGCTTGAAACTGCGCCAAGCGTCTTCAAGCGAAAGATCCAGGAAGTCAGAATAAAAGCCAGGAAGTGAAGAGATGAAATAACACGAATACTGTGCAAAGGAAATCCAACTTGACAAACGGTCAGCATGAAACAGAAGCGAATTTGACAACATCCTTGTCATTTCATTGGACGGGACGAGTTGCGGGCGGCAGTCACTGTACGCGGTGAACATACAACCGCTCTGTAAGGTGCCCCTCTGCGCAGGCCTCAATCTTTTAAGTACAAATTACAACCCAGCAAGTGCCTCTTCCTCTCTACCGCCGTGCGGCAGGGCGATCGGCATCGTGCGCGCATTGGAACTTCTTTGGCACCGCACGTGGCCAACCGTGCGCGGGTTGCGGGCCCGTGGGCCAGCAGTGGCCGCAGGGCGCTCCACGCGCGACGCGTCGCGGACCTCTCCGAAACGAGCCGAGTGCCGTTGCAAATCGCCGCGACGGACGGAGTTCCCCGGCGTGGGTTTGACGGCCGCGGTCGGAATGGTGGCCAGGCGCAGCCGCCTTGGGCTGGCGCGGCCGGCTACGTACGACGCAGAAGAAGTCCGCACGCACAGGAGCGGATCTCGTCTTGGAATACCGGCAGACAACGCTCCCTGTGCGGTCGAGTGCTGACACGGTGGCTGGAGCACTCGCGCCAAGAGAACCGTGGCGATTCGCTTCACAGCCACAACCACCGGCGGTGAGCCCCCGTGTCACACCGTGTGGCGAGCTTAACAGCGACCGGGTTTAGGAGTTTATATTTTTCGTTCAAAAGTGTTCACAGACGGACTGACGGAATATTTGACGGTCGCTCCATCGCGCGTTTTCAGATGCGCTTCTTTGGCCGTCTGGAACGCTCTTCCTTCCAATATTAGGAAGCCACTGGAGCGACCATGCACTTTGAAATCATCATCTAGATTGGAAAGACATTTATTTATGAACTGCTTTTTGTGCTTAGATTGTTGTCCCTCCCCCGCACCTTCGATGTGCACGGGTGGCTACGTACCGTGCCGTGCGAAAGAAGTTCAACGTACACACACGTGACATCTGGGACACTCCTTGGCGTAACCAACAGGAGGTCGTGGGTTCCATCCCGACCCTGACGCCTGCTGCTGTATATGTGGAGTCTGCGTGTCTCTCTCCCCGTGGTCACGTGACATTTTCTCCAGGACCTCTGGTTTCTCCCTCCACATTGAGAATCAACATCACGCGTTTAGAGTATTCGGCTGCAATGCATTTCCACGCGATAAGCCACTTCGCTGAGCTACCGTTTGTGGCCAGGTTGCTTCTGAAAAAGAGCTATATAGCTCAGTGGGCCTTGCCTGGTAAAACAAAAAAAGTATAATTTAGTAGAACACCTTTCCCTTGTTCACCAATCCGTACTGAGTGGAATGAAGAAGTACGGTCAAACAACCCTCATGATCCGTACAGTTGGCTATGCGCGGTGCGCGAAAGTTCAACACGTGACCGACGTGGCACGGTGAAGCCTTTATCCAACGGTGGACTCACAAAGGTTGTAAATGACTCACAAAGGTTGTAAATGGCTACTGTTTTAAATGCGAGGCTCATGGAGGAATACAAAGGCAACGTGTTTTTCCCGTCATATTCATCATCGATGCCATTCAAGGAGAAGTGCTTGTGTTGCGATCGAAGCGTCGTAGTTTTTGTTATTTTCTTTGAACCTATCTACGTGACTTTACCGAAAGTCCCAAAGAATATGCACACACGTTCTCGTTTTGTAAGTGTGCTCTCATCATTCAGCGAGCGCACTTTCGCGTCTTGTCGTTTCTACGCACGTAGAGACGCATGGATGTGTGCGTGTGCGAGCGTGCGGGTGGCTCACGCCCCGTGAACGATGCGCGTCGTCACGCACCCTGCGCTAGCTCGCCAGCAGGAATCTCGTCTTGCATCCATCCTGGTTGATGTGGCTCTGCGAAACAGAAAAGATACGCACAGGAGCGAGACGCCATCAAGCATTAGGACCAAAAGGCGCCGAGTCATCATTTCCTCGCCGATGATGAGAAGTCCCCATCGGCCGGGTGAAGTGTTGAGCGCACTGGACCTGCGATCTGGAGATTGTCACCGGATCGATGCCATCGCCCCGGTGCGGAAGTGGAAACAATGGGGGGCGGGTTTCTGAAATCCTCACCTCCTCACCAACCACCGCTGCCTCTGTCCACCCAGAAGTATTAAGGCACCGTGGTGGCTAGGAGATGTTAACTACCTCGCCAGGTGTACAGGATGTCGTGGGTTCGATCCCGATCCTGACGCCTGCTGCTGTATGTTTTGGAGTTTGCGGTGTCTCTCTCCCCGTGGCCACGTGAATTTTTCTTCGGGTCCTCCGGTTTTTCGCTACGCATTTATTTGGCCGCAACAAATGTCCACGTGATAAGCCACTCACGTGATAAGCCACCACTTCGACAAGCTGTCATCTGTGATAGCCAAGCTCGCTTCTGAGCTACATAGCTCAGTCAGCCTTAGCTGGTAAAATAAAATGTTTTGTTTATGAATGAGTTCACCGCAGTCGAACAGAAGGATGGTCAGCATGGAAGAGTAGGCCAAAGCACGCTCAACGGGGCCTTCTAGAGCTCCCTCTCGTGGGACTCCTTCCGCCAGGAGCGGTGCGAGCAAGACTTTGCAGGGCTGCATCTTTAGCTTTCAACCTCCGCTTGCTGAATCTGAGGCTGTTAATGATCTCGATGGAATATGCGGCTGAAGGAGGTCATGAATGCAGGCCTTGAACAAGCAACAAAATAATCTTAAAATCAATACGGGGGGTACGGATAGGGAACCAGTGAAGGGACAGGAGCAGAGGGGTGAAGTGGTCCTTCAAGCGTGTCCCAGTTAGCACCCTGGCTGCTCTACATCTCCACGTGATAAGCCACTTTGTTCAGCTAACATTTGTGTGCCTTGTCACTTAATAATAGCTCCTCAGTGGGCCTCACCGGGTTGGTAAAAAATGTGAAGTTTTATTTGTGTATTTTTAAGTGAGTCGTTTCCCTTTCCTACACTTTGCACTCCCGTCGTGTTGTTGTTGTTGTTGTATCGTGTTGTTGTTGTATCGTGTTGTTGTTGTTGTCACCTTCTGACCCCGTGCCCCGACTGGACATCTGTGGCAAAATAACTCTAAAGCTCATCAGATTCGTCCAAGTATTAATATTCTGATAACCAAGTTCAACATACAGACACACGAGCAGTCTCCACCTGTCCCGACTGAGCAGGCTGACACTGGGGCACGGAACGAGCGACGCACGCTAGCGAGCGAGCGAGTGACTGGTGGGTGGCGAGCGAGCGAGTGGTGAGCGGTAAGCGGCAGGCGAGCGAGCGAGTAGGTGAGTGGCGAGCGAGTGGTGAGCGGCGAGCGAGCGAGTGGTGAGCGGCGAGCGAGCGAGCGAGTGTTGAGCGGCGAGCGAGCGAGTGGTGAGCGGTAAGCGGCAGGCGAGCGAGCTAGTAGGTGAGTGGCGAGCGAGTGGTGAGCGGCGAGCGAGCGAGTGGTGAGCGGCGAGCGAGCGAGCGAGCGAGTGGTGAGCGGCGAGCGAGCGAGTGGTGAGCGGTAAGCGGCAGGCGAGTGAGCGAGTAGGTGAGTGGCGAGCGAGTGGTGAGTAGCGAGCGAGCGAGTGAGTGGTGAGCGGCAGGCGAGCGAGCGAGTAGGTGAGCGGCGAGCGAGTGGTGAGCGGCGAGCGAGCGAGTGGTGAGCGGTAAGCGGCAGGCGAGTGAGCGAGTAGGTGAGTGGCGAGCGAGTGGTGAGTGGCGAGCGAGCGAGTGAGTGGTGAGCGGCAGGCGAGCGAGCGAGTAGGTGAGTGGCGAGCGAGTGGTGAGCGGCGAGCGAGCGAGTGGTGAGCGGTAAGCGGCAGGTGAGCGAGCGAGTGGTGAGCGGCGAGCGAGTGACGAGCGAGTCCGCGCCTCACCAGCTTCCAGCGCAGCAGCCTCACCCACTCGTCCGTCTCCCGCGGCGAGTCGGCGTATAAGTAGTAGGTCCTCTCGGGGAACACGAGGCTGAGACGGGGCGACGCCGCGGTTACACGAGGACACCGCCGGTCCCCCCCCCACTTCCCCCCCCCCTGACGAATGCAAAGTTCAAAGTTCGCCCCCTCCTTCGCCCTGCGATGGAACTAAACAATGTGTAGTTGGCCACGTAAGCCCCACTGAGCCATGTCAGAAGCGAGCCGGCCACAAGCGTCAGCTCGGCGAAGTTCCCCTCCGACGGCACTTCCCCCGCGGCGCTCTCCGGCACCGTCTCTCACATGTGGTGGTGACGGCGGCGAGGCGCGAGGTCCGGCGCGGCACACGGGGTGGTGGGGCGTGGCCAAAAACACCACGCCTGGCCGCCTTTGTCTCCTGAGCGGCGATGTTTACACACCGCACCAGGTACTCGCTTAAGGCCGAGTTGACTTAAAGGTGGCGCGTCGTGCGCGATCACCGGTACGCGCTCACCGGCACGCGCTCACCGGCACGCGCTCACCGGTACGCGCTCACCGGCACGCGCTCACCGGCACGTGCTCACCGGTACGCGCTCACCGGTACGCGCTCACCGGCACGCGCTCACCGGTACGCGCTCACCGGCACGCGCTCACCGGCACGCGATCACCGGCACGCGCGCGTACGCACGTACCAGAACACGTTGGTCCTGTCCTGCGTGTAGTCGTACTGCACTGCGCTGCACCTCGTGAGATCCAGCGTCTTGATCGCTTCAGCGTCCTGCGAGAGCGCGAGGGAAACGCATCACGCAGCCCACACGCACGGCGGACCCCAGAGGGCACACAACTGGGTGGGTGCGTGGGGGAGGGGGGAGTCATGTGACCATACTTCACCACGCTGGTCAATTCAGGTCGTTGAACTTCTTTCATACTGTACGTAGCCAACCGTGATAATCGGACGTCACATGTTTCCAAAGATATTAGTGTTCAATCATGTACACTGGCCCCTCTGCTGCCCACAATGTAAGCTCCACAGTTGCCTATGACAACCGGCGATGCATGGCGGCTGCCCATCCAACCACTACCCAGGCCCAACCCTGCACGGCTTCACAAATATAAATCATACGTTATTCTAACTTGTACGCTGGGCAGTATTCGCTCACTCTTGACCACAGACAGAGAATTACTCAAGAGGTGCGAGTAACCACAGACAGGCAGGGAGGCAGCCAACCGTGAGACCAGGCAAACAATTTCCCAAGCTCTGCGGTCCACTATACGTTGAGGTGCTCTTGGTCAACAAGTGCGAGGGGGCAACACTCGATCCCGTAAGATTGCACGGGCGGAAGTGCTGTTCATAGATTCCCCCGGGCCCTGCGGTCTTCCACTCAGACCCGACTGAGGCCGTGTGGTCAGCAAGAGGCATGGCGGCGGTGGCTATGAGATGTTAACTACCTCGCCGGCTCGTGCAAAGTGCCCGTACCCTGGCCTGCCGGGGGAAACGCGTCACAGCAGATGTGGCCGAGGTCCAGAGGGAGACTGGCAGGAGGAAGGGTGGGGGAGAGATTGAGAGAGGGGGAGAGAAAGGGAGAGAGACAGATGGGAGATACAAGGAGGAAGAGAGGGGTAGGGAGCAAAGCCAGGAAAAGGAGCGACGAGAGAGTGACAGAGCAAAAGCTCGGTGAAGGGACTGGCTTTGGCGGCTTGTAGCGACTCACCTTGGGCTCCTTGTAGTACTTCATCTCGTGCCGGAACACCGTGAACCATCGCAGCTTCCAGCTCTGCAGCTCGTGCACAAAAAGCAGAAACAAAGCAAATGACTCACTCAGGAAACGTTGCATCTTCCGCCAAAAATAAACACAGGCCGGATCATCTCACCGGGCGATGCCATCACAATCCCCACTCTCGTGGTTATCGACCTATTCATTGGTATTATTATAATATTTGATAGGCTAGTCACTCTCTCCGTGACGGGCTACGCGCACTGTGAGAAGACCATGTACGTATGCCGAGCTTCTTTCACACCGTACGTAGCCAACTGCGCTGATCAGAGGTGCGGGGGAAGGACAACATCTAAAGAAAAGATCTTTCAATCTAGATGACATAAAAGTGCATACCTCCAGTGGCTTCCTAATATCAGTGGCAAGAGCTTTCCAGACGGCCGCAGAAGGGCATCTGAAAGCGCCGTTGTTGGATTGCGTAGCCAAAGAGGCTGACGGCTAGCTATGAAGAAGGAGCATTGCCCGAACCGTCGTCTCTTACATATTTATAGTTTTAAAGCCACACGGTGTTATTGCCGCACGTGATGAGTGTTTTAGCTTGCTATAATAATGATGGCTCTTATAATCACAAGGCCACCCAGCGGGGCCTAGCGGCAGTACCTTGATGATGAAGCCTTGCTTGGTGAGGAAGCCTTCCTTCGTTGCCAACTGCGAGGGGGGGGGGGGATGATGGTGATGTGAGGACATCGTAAACCAAACATTATCCAGGCCGACAAACTCCACACTCTGAATAAAACAAAGAAATAAACTCACCCAACGAAAAAAAATATTCAATGAAAAGACCGACCAGGACAGACAGACTTGAGGTTCTCAACATGACTTTCTTCATATATATTAATGCCCGGGCTTAGACTGCCAGATAGACGCTAACTTAATATGCTTTTGTGGTAATACCAGCTTAACAGTGCCTTGGGAATTTTAGGATTTACTCTTAACACATGAGGCTCCTCCAATTAGCACGGTTGCAACATGCATACGTACGAGGCTCAAGGAGCCAGACGATGGCTCCTCGTACGGTCGTGTAGCGGTTAGTGAGCTGCGCTATCAACCCAGTGACCGAGGTTCGATTCCTGCTCACGGGCAACACCGGTGACGATTAACTGAAGTGGTCATGGGCCTCCCCTATGTCGACTCAGCCTGAAATGAGTGTCTGGTACGGTGCGTAAACAACATTAGCACCGAGGTGACAAAGGCAGCCGGGCGTGGTGCTGGCCATCCATACGACAGCCCTAGCGGTCCGTCTCAGGCTACACGGAGGATCTTTGTCTTAACAGATAAACAAACCCTCCTCCCGGCTGTGCCACGCTCACCGAATCGGCGTGCGGCTCCAGGAGCTCGGGCTCGCCGTGCAGCGCCGTGTGGATGCGCACCGACTCGTACGTCTGCGGCTCCGACACTTGGCGCGGGTAGGGCAGGTGCAGCAACACCAGCGTGCCTGCCGGCACGGCCGTTCCACGCACAGACAACCTCAAAACTCGTCGTCGTCTTGCTAACAATCCACATTTATGTAACACGTCATGTCACTTACTGCTCTCGTGTGGACTCACAATTATCGCTATCGCACAACCTACATAACGGTCAACAACCGGAGGGACGTTTTCAGACGTCTGACAACTGCCTGACGATGCCGGCTCTAGCTGCAAGCGCGAGAAGTCCGCACCAAAGCCGTGAAGTGCCGTCCGCCGCCACACGCTGGTGACACTCAAGCAGTCGAAATTTGGCGCGACTGTTCCAGTCGACGACTCGCCACGCCGCCGCAAGCACGACCCGCGACGAGTCGTCTCGTCGTCGGCAACTTGCAGTGCCGGTTTCATTGGAAGGGCGGGTCAGACAGAATCAGCATCTCTATTTATCTGGGAGAAATCTGGAAGAAGCAAATTTAGCCTGGAGACACGGCCGCGTGCATCCCAGTTGAGCACTCCTCGAATGTAAGAAGCGGCAAGTTGCGAGCGATTCTCTGACGCGCTGGCAAGCGTGCGGGGAGGTTTTGAGAAACGGGAAGACTTCTTTACACAATTCTGGCAAATTGCCTGATGAAGCTGGTTGTAATCACCAGCAGAACTTCACGGCACTCTAATTGTAAATGTTGGGGGTGTACTCTCCAACACTCCGGTGTAGTAACTAATTGTCAGGTTTTGTTGACGTGACAAACCTTATTGATTGACTGTGTCGGGCTGTGGTGGGGATAACGACACGTTCATATTTAAGCGCTCTAAACCCAACAAAAACCTTTATCGCGAATAATATTGGTCGCGAAAGCCTTGCGACGTGTTAAACTATCAAAACAACAGCTGGCGTCATTGCAGAGAAAACGAGCGAACGAGTGAGCGAGTGAGTGAGCGAGCGAGCGAGTGAGCCCCCGCGCGAGTGAACGGCTCGACGACGAATCAGCCGCACGGCCAACAGCTCAAGCCGAACGTCTTGCGGTAGCGGTGACGGTGGCGGGTCGGTGGCACGAAGCGACGGCGCCACCACCACGAGCACCGCCATCGCCGCCGTCACCCACCGGTCTCGCTGCCCACGAGCGGCTTCTGGGAGAAGTGCGCCAAGAGCTCCGGCAGGGACTGGAACTCGCTGAAGCCGAATTTGATCTTCCCGTCGCTGCACTTCACCAGGAAGTGCTTCACCGAGTCCTGGCACCTGCTCGCTCGCACGGAGCGCGAGACTCATGCGGGCTGGCGAGACTCACTCGGGCTGGCGAGACTCACTCGGGCTGGCGAGACTCACTCGGGCTGAATCGCACGTAGGATGAGACTCACTCGGGCTGGCTGGCACGTAGGATGAGACTCACTCGGGCTGACTGGCACGTAGGATGAGACTCACTCGGGCTGGCGAGACTCACTGGGGCTGGCTCGCACGGAGCATGAGACTCACTGGGGCTGACTGGCACGTAGGATGAGACTCACTCGGGCTGGCGAGACTCACTAGGGCTGGCTCGCACAGAGCATGAGACTCACTAGGGCTGGCTGGCACGTAGGATGAGACTCACTTGGGCTGGCTCGCACGGAGCATGAGACTCACTGGGGCTGACTGGCACGGAGTGCGAGTGGTCGGCTCTACTCACTTAACGGACACGGCGAGCTGCCCCGACTCGCGGCTCTTGCGCAGGAGGTAGCTGCCCAGCGCCCCGTTGGACATGAGCAGAGCCTCCGCCTGGTGCCTGCTCAGCTCCCCGTGGTACCAGCTGCGCCGCACACCGCACGGGCAAAACGCCACCCACACAAGCGTTTTAACAGACTGTTGGGGCGAGGTGAACACGTGTGTGTGTGTAGAGACACAGATGAACACGTGTGTGTAGAGACACAGGTGGACACGTGTGTGTGTGTAGACACAGGTGGACACGTGTGTGTGTGTAGAGACACAGGTGGACACGTGTGTGTGTGTAGAGACACAGGTGAACACGTGTGTGTGTGTAGAGACACAGGTGGACACGTGTGTGTGTGTGTGTAGAGACACAGGTGGACACGTGTGTGTGTGTGTGTAGAGACACAGGTGGACACGTGTGTGTGTGTGTGTAGAGACACAGGTGGACACGTGTGTGTGTGTAGACACAGGTGGACACGTGTGTGTGTGTAGAGACACAGGTGGACACGTGTGTGTGTAGAGACACAGATGAACACGTGTGTGTGTGTGTAGAGACACAGATGAACACGTGTGTGTGTGTAGAGACACAGGTGGACACGTGTGTGTGTGTAGAGACACAGGTGGACACGTGTGTGTGTGTAGAGGCAGGTGGACACGTGTGTGTGTGTAGACACAGGTGGATACGTGTGTGTGTGTGTGTAAAGACACAGGTGAACACGTGTGTGTAGAGGCAGGTGGACACGTGTGTGTGTGTGTAGAGACACAGGTGGACACGTGTGTGTGTGTAGAGGCAGGTGGACACGTGTGTGTGTGTGTGTAGATACACAGGTGGACACGTGTGTGTGTGTAGATACACAGGTGGACACGTGTGTGTGTGTGTAGAGGCAGGTGGACACGTGTGTGTGTGTAGAGACACATGTGGACACGTGTGTGTGTGTAGACACAGGTGGACACGTGTGTGTGTAGACACAGGTGGACACGTGTGTGTGTGTAGAGGCAGGTGGACACGTGTGTGTGTGTAGAGACACAGGTGGACACGTGTGTGTGTGTAGATACACAGGTGGACACGTGTGTGTGTGTAGAGGCAGGTGGACACGTGTGTGTGTGTAGAGACACAGGTGAACACGTGTGTGTGTGTGTAGAGACACAGATGAACACGTGTGTGTGTGTAGAGACACAGGTGAACACGTATGTGTGTGTAGAGACACAGATGAACACATGTGTGTGTATAGATACACAGATGAACACGTGTGTGTGTGTGGTTGCCGTGAGCTCACGAGATCTCCTGGAGTCCAGATTCGTCCTCCATGATGGGGACGAGGGCGAACGGCCCCTGGGCCAAACCATGAACCACCACGCCCGAGTGGCCGTCTCTGAGTGAGATCCCTGCGGCCCCTCGGCTCAATGTCCACTCTGTCAGTACTGCCCTCTGTGTGTACTACACTGTGTGTACTGCACTCTGTGTGCGCTGCCCTCCGTGTGTACTACACTGTGTGTACTGCACTCTGTGTGCGCTGCCCTCCGTGTGTACTACACTGTGTGTGTGCTGAACTCTGTGAGCACTGCCCTCCGTGTGTACTACACTGTGTGTGTGCTGCCCTGTCAGCGCTGCCCTCTGTGTGTGCTGCCCTCCGTGTGTACTACACTGTGTGTGTGCTGCCCTCTGTCAGCGCTGCCCTCTGTGTGCGCTGCTCTCTGTGTGTGCTGCCCTCCGTGTGTACTCTGCGCGTGTGTGGACTCGACACTGACACCGCGGTTTAGTCGCTTCCTTGTTTTGTCCACGTGACAAGAACTGCGCCCAGCACGCCCTCACCCCCTGCCTCCCCCATGGCGGAGAGGGCAGTGCAGTGGGCAGGGCGCTGTCTAGAGGGGGCAGTGGGCAGGTCACTGTCTAGAGGGGGCAGGGCAGTGGGCAGGGCGCTGTCTAGAGGGGGCAGTGCAGTGGGCAGGGCGCTGTCTAGAGGGGGCAGTGGGCAGGGCACTGTCTAGAGGGGGCAGGGCAGTGGGCAGGGCGTTGCCTCGGGAGAGAGAGGGACGCGGTTCTGTCCAGGTAAGCCGTGTTTAGGGTTCACCGTTGCCTCTCTGCCTCTCTGCTGCCTGCCACTGAGTGGGTCACTGAGCAGCTCTAGGCCGTGTCTGGTGGTGGTGGTTCTACGGCATTGAAACGATGCGATGCAGTAGCTCGCCCTACACGTGTCTGTGTGCTGTGTGACACCTTTGGCAGGCAAGAGGACGAAGCGTGGATGGCTACGTACGGTGCGTAAGAAGCTCAACATACAGTCCACACATTCACGTTGCAACGGACCCAGCAAGCAAGCCCACGCACGTGTTGTTCTGCATTGCAGCGTTCCAGCAAACTGGTGGTGTGAGAATCAGAATATTTATTGATACTGCGAAGAACCCGATAAGCGATAAAAGTTCCTCTTTTTAAACAGATGTCCCGTCGACGTGTGCTCGTGCGTGGGTAGTGGTGCACAAGTAACGACACAAACATCAGCACATTCGACAATAACACGAATTTCAAATGTTTTACCTACGTGACTTTACCGAAAAAACCTAAGAATATGAATCCTTGCAGTCACGAAAGCTTAAAATCTAGAAGTTTTGAGTGGAGTTTATTGGAATTCCTGCCTCCTGTACTCCCAACGTGACTGCCCACGGCCTGTGGTTGATAATATTAATAATTATAATAATAAGTGTATTAAATCTTATTTTCTGGATTTTAAGACGATCCAGAAAGTCAAGGCTATACGGGGGAACTTTATCTTTGTATGTATGGAACGCAGCTTTCCAATCACACTGCGCCAACGCTTCCCAAACCCGATGCAAAGACAAAGATCCCCCGTGTAGCCTTAACAGACTGTTGGGGCAAGTGCTGTTAGCGAGCACCTATGAAGGCTGGCACTGCACACGAGGGGGTGGGTGGCCAACACCACGCCCGGCCGCCTTTGTCTCTCCAGTGGTGATGTTTACATACCGCACCAGGTACTAATTTGAGGCTGAGTCAACCTAAGGGAGGCCCAGGACCGGTTCAGATAATCGTCACTGGTGTTGGCCGTGAGCGGGAATCGAACTCAGGTCACCGGGTTCGTAGCGCAGCGTAGCGCTAACCGCTGCACCACCGCTCCCCACACGCCGTATGCGCCCACAGTCACACATCCGATTTGCGCGGTTGGCGACATACGGTGCGAAACAAGTTGAAAAGAAACCAGTTTTGTTTTCTTATTTCACCCCACTGAGCAGTGTAGCTCGTTTTCAGAAGCGAAGTGGCTCATAGTGTTGAAACGTATTGCGGAAGCCAAAACCATGCACACGTCAGGGCAATGTTGCGCTTCTCGTGTTTGAAGGGGCACGGCAGCTGACGACTGACACCAATGAGCGCCTAGCCTCACGAGACACGTGCCGCTCAAAAAGGGGAACCCGCTGCCGAGTGGAAATTCAACCGCAAGCCGTGACAACCGCAGTGGGATTTTTTGCGTTTTTGTTCAATCTTTCCCCTGCCTCTCACACAAAAACAACGTCCGCTCAAGTTGTGTTTCGCCTGTTAAATTGCGACAGTTACCACAGAACCCCCCCACCCCTTCCCGACTATCGAAATCCGATGAACTGCGAATCTCGTTTGTGGCCCATGTCCAGGAGAGTTCCCGTCTCGTGTCGACCGTTGGACGCTGCTCGACATCCCCATTTGCGTGTCTCCCACTCTCTCGCGAGGATTGGTATCCGGGTCCTCCGGTTTTTCCTTCCACATTTAAAATCAACGTGCATTTCGAGTATTTGGCCGCTATACATTTCCGCATGACAAGCCACTTGATCTCGCTGTTATTTGTGGTCAGGTCGCTGCTGACGAAGAGCTCCACAGCTCAGTGAGGTATTAACATGGTCAAATAAAACTAGTTTCTAGTTTCGTTTACCCGTTTACAGATGGAGGGTTATAGTTGGCTCAGGGGACAGGATCAGCGAGGAAGGTTCAAGGAGGCTGAGGATGAGGTTGTAGGGAATGTGATGCAGCACATCGGGCTCACTCCGGACTTCACTCCGCACGTGTTGCTGTGTTCTTGGCGACAATAAACAGCCCGTGGGGAACGAGGTGCTCCCGTCATCCTCTGCACAAGTTTTAAATATAAGACATTTCCTTTTTATTTAAAACCACATTGGAACAGACTGCTATGACATCAGCAAATACTGTCATAAACCTTACATATGATTGTTAGCATAGGCAACCGAGTTGGTATATTTTAATATTTTTCATCTAAATCTCTTGATACAGCACAAATATTTTTTTCCCGTAACATTTTGTAAAAAAGAAAAAAATTGGTATACTCTACACAAACATGGTATCCACATTGCACAAACATTATCAATCGGGAAGCGTAACAAATAACATAAAAACCTCATGACGCATCGTCCACGTGTGACCTGGTGGGCTGGGCCACGTGCCGAGCACCACTGCGGGGGGCATCGCGACGAGCTTGAGGTGGCCCAACTCGTAAGGCCACGCTGGGGACCACGCGTGGCTGCGCCTACCGCCGTTGCCAAGTTCTGTCAGCCGCCTCTGATATGTTCGACTTTGAGCGATGTGGTTTTTTGTTTGTTTTGCACGCGAATAGATGTGCCAACATTCAGGTCGAACTGCCTTATGCACAGGATGCTGGAGCCTTCGCTTTCGAATTTTCGTCAACAGTCAGAATCAGTGTTTTCAAACGACATGGGTACATTTCTACAGGCTACATTTCGGGACCAGGCATCGTTCACAGTACCAACCCGTTCAGCTTTAGTTAAACCGGTTGCGATCGATTGTATTCCACTGCTGATGGCATTTTTTGTTTAAACGGCACAGTCATGCGCGTCAATATTTCAAATTCTGTTGGTAAAGTACAAGTCGCATGCTCGCAGAACGCCCCCTTCTTGCACTGGCACAGCCGAGCCGAGCGGGCGTGGAACCCTCACGGTATGAAACTCTCGCCTCGCAAGACACCGGAATGAGGCTGTTGGCCAGACAGGTCCATGACCTTGGGGTTATCATCATTTTCATCTTTACTCTGCACCAGAGTCGGTACACATGAACGAGTCGATGCCGACTGTCAGGCTGCAACGAACATGCGATGTCAGCTGCGCAGCTCGGGTTCTGCGGTGGAAAAACAACCGGGGCGCTCCCCCCGAAGCCGCACCGGGCTAGCTTCGGCACCGCCCCGGCACGGATCGGTTGTGCAGTGGAAAAAAGAGGTGTTCGAAAAAACAAAAATCTTGTATTGTGCATGACATTTTCCATCCGGCAACCCATAGTGGGCTCGCATAGCTTCAACACATTTTAAAAATTCACACGTGACACAGTTCTTCAAAGTATGCAGTTTCTAGTTCAAGTTTACAGCTTGTAAGCATGTTTCCACTGTGTGTGAAAAAATCTGATGGGTCTGTACATTTGTCAAGACAGTTCCATCGACAGAAATAAAACATCGTGAGCACCAGCAGTTAACAAATCACCGATAAATCGGGAAATGTGTTTGAATCGGTGAACGTGGAATTAAATATTTGCGTGTGCACCCAAGCATTCATGCTATGGCTTGAGTTCCGATTAGGCCTGTCAATGCCATACAGCAAATTGTCAGCGACATTATATCGGGTTCTCGCTTGCTACAGGCCGCTTGTTTAAACTGCACCAGTTGCGGACGCGAGGCAATTTATTGAAACGAGGACACGGTTCGTATTGAAGAATGCAGTTGCCCACGACCCAATGCATGCCGGCGCATCGATTAGTTAAAAGGACAACCCAAATACAATCACACAATGTGTTGCAGAGACATGCCTGGGTCACCTGGCCGATACAAGTGTTTTCAGTGAGAACAAATTTACTGTTGTGGAATGCAATCGCAGGATATGTGGGTATCGCAACATTTTAGTTCGTGATATCACCGCGGTAAAAAAACAATATTTTACCGTGGGAAATATCGTAGCACCACCAACACAATGACACCGCAGTGTTTTGAACACATTGACAAAGCTGGTGCTTAACGAAAGCCAAAAACGTTCAAAGCGTCTCTGCTTTTCATGCACCTTCAAGTAGAACGTCTTGAGCGATGGAACTAAACGTCACGATGGGTCGTGCAATGTGGATCTCTGTAAAAGCCGGGTCCGCAACTGAGCAAATAATCAGCTGCGCAAATCGGGCGCATGCAACCGATTCGCTTGCACGTGGATGCCTCCGCAACCGGTTGCACGAGCTGGTGCTGCTCACCGTAGAGACGCAGACGCTTCTCAAGCAACGATCTGTCAAGCGATTTGCAGCGGCGCATTTCATCACCGTGGGGCACATTTGCTAACTATGATTGGCTCTTATAATCCCGATGGGTGGGGTGGGGGGGGATGAAGGTCACCAGGAGAGGGTAAGGGCGATGCTCACAAGGGTCCTGGCCAGACACATTAGCCACGCCCGGCCACGCCCTGTGTTTGCGCAACTACTCGCTCAAGATGTGGACAAAGCAGCTACAGAGGCGATGATTTAAGTTGCACGATTTCAAGAGCGATCTGAACACTTTGTAAACGGCTCTGTCTGGAAACTGTCGCAGGTCGTCAAACATTCAAACCACAAGCAGTATACCGTCATATGGAACGTCATTAGCTTTTCCCCGTCACAGAAACACATATATGCTTTGGGTTGTCCCTTATAAGCAAGTGTTGAATTTCAAGATATCAGATTCAAGTTGTCAATTAAAGTCAAGTTTGTATGGAGCAATACGTTGCCATGTATTGTTGCCACTTATAGCACCCACATTGTGTGCAATCGTTCACGGCTGCTGTTGAGTTGTAATTCTCGACAGGGTAACCGCGTTCAAATTGCTGCTGCGTTATTAGCTTAGCTTCCACGCTGCACCAATGCGCATAGCAGTGAGAATTTTTTCCAACTATAACACGTGGCGTCGGATTCATTAATGCAATTGGACGAACGTCACCGAGAGATATAAGATGAGCACATTTTTTTGAACCGTCACCATTGTTGCATTGCATTAATTGCACGCCCTAATTTGACTGCGTTATGGTAAAAGAACGCAAGAAAGGAAAACAAACACGTAAATATATTTATATATTTGTTACAACTTACAACACTGTTAATGGCTCATAATGTAATATACATCGAAATTCACTATTCTGCCATTAACTTAAATTTATCTATCCTAAGGAATCCCACAATTCACAGAAGCCAGGCGTTCAGCACAGCAGAGGTCAAGCAGCGCCTGTGCAGTGCCCATCCAAGGCCCCCCCCCCCCCCCCCCGGAGGCTCCTGGAAGGGCCCTCTCATTGATTCATTCACAACTACACGCAGGGCCCTCTCTTGTGCGAGGCCTGGGAGTTTTGTTTGTACCCTTTTGTACCCCCCCAAACCCACCTACCCCCCCCCTCCCATCTTACAAACATTTGATTAAAGTGAGAATATTGGCACCGCAGCGCAGTGTGGAGGAGTGCGTGCAAGTCACCTTTTGCATTTATAAAGAAAAGTTTGTTACAGGGGGGAGGGAGGGGGGGGACGTTACAGCATTTAGTTACGCGCCGGTGTGGTGGATTCCGAGCGATTTCTCATGCAAATGACTTACGCGAAGGTATGTTTCACCACCTCAATGAATCAAGGCACATTGCAGTCCATCGGTCTCCATGGGGCATTTCTCTACCCACGTTTTGCAGTAGCGTTTTGTTGAAGCAGCCTAAACCCTCGCCTGGATCGGCTTTCTTATTCTCATCAGTCAGCATGGCATGGGCTCGTTGAATGCCCGCGCAAGCAAATTCTGCTGAAAAATATCGGTTCGGGAGGCCCCGTAAGGCTGATGGACGGATACGTAATTTGACTTGGTGAAGGAGACCCTGTTTGTGTATCCCTTGGCAGAGCCACACGTGACCCGGGCTCTCTCCTCCTTGCCGACTGCGCTCCAGTGATGGACTGATTGATGGAGGCACAATTCTTGCTGCGTAGCGATCTAAACTCTTTGGTTCTTTAGGTAAAGTCACGTAGGTAGAAATAAAATAATATAAGATACAATAAAACAAATCACGACGTTTCGATCGCAACACAAGCAATCGTAATCAGGTGGGAACACCACAGCAAGAAAAAAAATATTTACTTAAAGAACCAAAGAGTATGGATTCCTGCAGTCACGAAAGCTTCAAATCAAGTTTAGCGATCTAAAGTTACAACATTTCTGGCCACTCAAGCACCATCTCCTCCCACAGGGCGAATGGTCTCTCATGTTCACCTCCACTCGCTGAATACGCCCCCACAACCACGATGCTAGCCCCACCCACGACTCGTGAAGCTCCGCCCTCTACTCAGGTAGCCCCTCCCACTACTCCGGCAGCCCCTCCCATGAGCTGAGTATGAAACTGGAACATTTTGAATCGATGACAAAATTTACGAATTTTTCCCCGTGAGCTGCTGGGGGGGGGGGGAGTCACTGAGCCTGTGGCCATGCCACGTGGGCCCAGCGCCGCCATCGATATTGGCCTGCTCACCCACTGGTCACGGAAACCGAGGCATCTTTCAGAACGCTCGTGAAAGGAGGCTGGCCAAATATCCCAATGTAGGACGGCAGAGCTCGGGAAATTGTTGGCGCCGGTCCTGGCCGTCCTGCCGCTCGTCTGTGGATTCCTGGCGCAGAGCTTTGATCTGGCACTTTGCACGAATGACGCCGCTGTTAACCCCCCCCCCCCCAATGTAAACCATTATCCGAGAGCCAGTGGATAAGGGGTGGAGGGGGGGGGGGCTTCGGTTATTGCACCTGGAATTGTGGGTACTCCCATCGTGTCGACCAATGCAGCACACATCCGCCTACAGTGCATCATTCGTCAGTTTCACAGCACCAGTTGTCGAGCGCCAACGAGCATGACGATGCTGGCTCCGGACGATATCCGACAACTTTCCAAGGGCTTTAGAGAGAGAAGACAAAAAAAGGGAACGGTTTTTTTTGTCGATGTGCACAGAAATGAAAATTATTCTAAACTAAAATTTTTAGGGGGGATGGAGGGGGTGGGTGGGTGGCCCCAGCGACGAGGGGGTTCGTGGACACCTTCCCGGCATGCCGCCTCGTGCCTCACGGGGCAAGCAGAATTGCTCCGTGGCGGCGTCGTTCAACAACAAAAATCGGAGAAGCTGGCAGCGGTTGTCCTAATCGTAGCCTCGTAGAAATGTGGAATTGTCACCCACGGACCCAGGTGCCTTGGGCGGGAGATAAGCACCGCCCATCAGTGGTCATCCGAGCCCAGACGTCACGCTGACCTTTGAACCGATATCATTGGCCGAGCAATGTGACGAGCAACGGCGTCGTTGGGGTCTCGTGATTTCGTGGGAACGCCACCGGAACGGGATTACGGGTTCACCGTGGCACAGTTCTGCTCCGAGTCACCCGTGAAGACGTCTCACGAGGTGCCTCTTGCCTTCAAGTGACCGCGCTCTTAAAGCACCAGACGCGACCTTTCCACACGCTGCAAATCCCTACGCATCAACTCGCTACGCTCGAGAACCCGGTTTAATCACAAAGTCAGGTCTATGTTAGGCTATGGGTCTCCATGCAAGTCTATGGGTCTCTATGTGAGTCTATGGGTCTCTAATCGAGTCTATGGGTCTCTAATCAAGTCTATGGGTCTCTATGTGAGTCTATGGGTCTCCATGTAAGTCTATGGGTCTCTAATCGAGTCTATGGGTCTCTATGTGAGGCTATGGTTCTCTATGCGAGCCTATGGGTCTCTATGCGAGTCTATGAGTCTCTATGTGAGTTTATGAGTCTCTATGTGACTGGTGAGTGGGCTGAGACATCAACTCGCTACTCTTGAGAACGCAATGAAATCACAAACTCAGGTCTGTGTGAGGCTTTGCGTAATTCTCACATCAACCAGTTTAAAATTTTCAAATGTATGTATAGCAATGGCCAATGACTAATTTTCACGTAAATAATTCACGTTTAAATGTATAATATCAAACGATGGTTTTTAAATGATGTGTTTAGCAGAATATATGTCAACGTGTTATAATAATATTTATCCAAGAGAATGCCCATTAAGATCCACCCTCTCTGTTGCAGGGCAGAAACTGGAGTCATCATCATTATCATCATCATCATCATCGCGTGTGTGTAATTATCTGTACAAAACAATAATTATAATGTACGGCGCTTTGTCGATCCACTGCTAGATGCAGGCCTTACCCCCATGCCTGTAACGGCCATGGGAGTTGTTTGACCATACTTCCCCACGCTGGTCAATGCGCGTTGTTTGAAGGGGTTGACCCAGGACCAGTTTTAAAATTGCTCGCCACTGATGTTAGCCGTGGCCGGGAATGGAATGCCGGTCGCTGAGGTGTGCAAACCACCACTGCTCCGTGGCTATGTGTGCAAGTGGTAAATGCGCAGTGTTTGTACCAGTCGTTGGTTAGCCACGAGTGGTTCGTTACCTCTGAAATACCGGCCGTTGCTATAGTAATGTGGAATTCACCACTAAAGTCGAAAGACCACAATTATATTAGCACCACCAATGTACTCATTCACCTATGGGGACAATGTTCTATCAATCCCACTATCGATGATTCTGTACCGACTGCAGAGAGTAAATACATGTTCATCATATAGCGCGTGCACGTTGTGTTATCACGTGGTCTGCAGATACTACTGTATGCACGGGACATTGGCTGGTGAAATGGCTCAGTGGTGCCGCCTTCACCGCTTGTTGCAGGCCGCCCTGGTTAACAATGCAGGCGCATTGACCGTAATATTCGCGCCGCCTGCTGCGCTGCAGTGGAGTTCAAGATCCCGTTACGCTCTCCGAACAGAGTAGCACATTGCGTGCCCGCGACGTGCTCAGGAAATGTGACAATTTGAAAATGTACCAGCAGATTGCCCAATTGGGATTACACATAGCAGCATCTCCCTCCTACTGGCAGACTGATGTAGAGCGACAGCTGCCACTGGGAGTGACCTCGGCTCGACCCCCATAGCAGCGTCTGCCTCCTACTGGCAGACCGATGTAGAGGGAGGGACGGTACTCAAACCGCCCCCACGACTGGACACCACCGCGGGCTGAGTGTGCGCCAATCACAGCAGCAGCAGCAGCGACGGCGGGGATGGTGGCGCCTCCCTTCGCAACGATCGCCTCGCGCGCTATTGGAATGGTGGCGAAGACAACATTTGGGGCAAACGATTCCGTTTGCTTTTGACGGGAGGGGGAGGAGGAGGTGGAGGAGGTGTGGTTTGTTTGGAAAGGAGCGCTGGCATCCGTCCGAGGCCGACACCGAGGGCGATGCGCCTACGCGGCGCCACCCGGCGCACTGCGCGCGCTTACACGTTCTTGTTTTTGCACGACCGGCAGCAGGCTGTTCGGTAGTACCAGTGGCCGCACAGCTTCACTTTGATCACGAGGACACAGTTCGCCGTCGGCTTGTCTTGACACCGGTCGTCTGTCCGCAAATAAACACACGCGCGCGCACGCACGAGGGTTACCCCATTCGTCGACGTGAGGACAATATGCAATCGCGTTATCTTTACGCGGCGCAGCAAAAGTGTGGACTCGTCATCTGCCCCTTCTCTGTGGGATAATACTGCAACCCTCACGTGCATGAGCTTCCTCCCACACGCATACACACCCATTCTTTGGTTGAAAACCCTTTAATATTTCCCATTCCGATGGGAAAGGACGTACCTGCACGTCATCAGTTTTTCTTCTGATTCTGTTCCGATGACATACGTGTACGTCGAATAACTCTATCGGCCTGGAGACGTGCCGAGGCTCCCACAATGCCGTGTGGGACGGCGTGCGGCGCAGTCTGGCGCCAGCTATCGTAGAGTGCGGTCGTGTCGCTACAGTTCTCTGCGGTGAGTAACAACGTCTTTAAAAACAACGGCGCTACTACGCCTCTCTAAATCATATTAACGCTGAGCAACTTTCGCACTTCGAGATTCGGGGGTGAACGGGACACCCCACCGTGCGACTTGCAGGTGTCTCGAGAATGGGAAAGGGTTCATATTTATTAGACGACCGCAGCGCTTGAGCGATGGTTAGTAGCGGCGGCGTCCCGCGTGGCCGCGACCTTCACGCATTGTCTGTGCTTCCTCGGCGACCGTGCACAGGCGGTGATGACGACGAAAACGACATCAAAATAAACAAGCGTCACGCGGTGGTAGACGTCACGTCGTCCCGACTTGGCATGTCTAATTCCGAAGACGGATCCAAATCGCTACGTTTGGTCGCGAGAATCTTTTCGTCGGGTGGGAAAACGGAACAGCTGGAAACACCGAATGTGTGGCCCACGGCCCGAGCAGCCTCTGTGAGGAACGGCTGGAAGACGTTATCCACCTCGCCAGGCGGTGGTGGGTCTGCACGTGGCCTGCGATGCAGCGCGTTGGAGGTGGGGAGGGTTGGAGGGTCACCGCGAAAATGTTGTGTCAACCGCTTCTCGTGGCCGTCGAGGTGCTAGAAACTTGCCATGGTTCTGGAAAAATCTCCCGATGATACCGGCTGATGTACTTACTGGCGAAACGTCCAACACGCCGGTGGGCTGAAGTAGTAAGCTACATGGCGTGTTTTGTTTACGTGACGAACCTTACTAATTGGCTGTGCCGTGTGGTGGTGGTGAATTAACGACACATTTATATTCACGCGATCTAAGCCAAAAAGTTTCAGCCGTTCTCTCTCCGTGAGAGCGAGCGAATAATACCAGGCGACGTCGCGTTTACGGGGTGACATTGTCGTGACGACATCATCGTCGTTATTGTGAAGACGGTGGGGGGGGGGGGCAGGGAGAACTAAACACAACAACCGAGGGAATAGAGGGGAAGGGTCAGCGGTGCTCACCCGGGGCCTCGGTGGGGCAGGCCTGCAGCTCGCAGTTCTGCTTGGTGCTGGGGCGGCTCAGCGCGTCGCAGCCCTGGCCCAGCTCGTCGCCCTGGTAGCACTTGGCCTCACGCACGCGGATGCCCGTGCCACACGTCTTGCTGCACTGCACACACACGCACACACGCCGCTATCAACGATCACCGCTACTATTATAAGGCGTGTATTCTTGTAGCCGGGTAAGGTCCGCTGAGCTGTGCGGCAGCTCTTTTTATCGAACGTGGCCATCGCGAATGACAGCGTGGCGAAGCGGGCTTCATCGCGGCGGGAATGTCTGGCGGCCAAATGCTCTAAACGCCGGAAGATGTTGATTATAAATGTGTAAAGAGAAAAAAAACGGAGGACCCGGGAACAAAATCCACGTGACCACGGGGGAGACACGTAAACTCCAAATACACAGCAGGTGTCAGGGTCGGGATCGAACCCACGACCTCCTGTAGACCAGGCGAGGTAGTTAACATCTCCACGCCACCGCGGCGCCGCACGCCGCACTCCACGCCAACGACAATGGCCGCCATTCAGCATTAAGTGTCGGTGACATCGCCGCGGCGCTTGGGCCAGGCTAGGTGCGCCTTTAAAACAGGAAAAGTGTCAAAGGCTCGCTGGCAGGCGGTCAGGAGATAGATCCAGATACCATGGGTTGACTGAGATGACCGGCAGATGCACCAGCTGAGCCCCCTAGTGTGCGAACTTGCTGCGTTTTAGCCGCCCGGTGCTCCGCTCATTGTTGTGAGCGTCGCCCCTCTGCTCTCCGCTGTTGCTGGAGGGCGACTGCCTCCAATAGCCTAGGAGCATCCTTCACGAGCCTCCTCCAAAAAAGGTCTATCTTGGCACCGCTGGTACCCATCATCAGCAAATCTACTCAGTCCACATCCACCTGTACCGCATCAGCTCCATTTCTTCTCTAACTCGTGTCGTGCCCGCTTAACCCCCTCTATCCAGCAAAACAAGTGCTCCATGGACATGCAGTGGCTGGGCATACGGCCTACGTGATCCAGGCAATGCGGCCTCGCCTGGCAATGAACCTCACCGATAAATTGTGTCCAGATCTGTCAAGAATCTGCGAGCTAACACAATCCAGCCTGGTTAAACCCAGGATGGATCGGAGGCAGGCCAGCCTGTGAATGTATCAAACCAGGGCAGATGTTCCTTTAGAGGGGTCCTCGTTTCACAAGCGAAGAGAAGGCAGGGAATAATTGTGGCTTAGATGACATGGAGCTTTGCGTGGAGCGACAGGCCAGGTAGCTTCCACGCAACGTGGAAGCCACGCGAACACCCACACACACACACTCGCACCCGTCTGCCACACTCCCCGCGTGTCACCGTGCAGCGGTCAGCACACTGCACGACAAACCCAGTGACCCAAATTTAATTCCTGCTCACGGCCAACATGATTGACGAATATTTGAACGGGTCTTGGGCCTCCACTAGGTAGGCTCAGCCTTAAATAAGTACCCGTGCAGTGTGTAAACATTAGCACTGGGGAGACAAAGGCGGCTGGGCGTGGTGCTCACCACCTACCCCCTGGTGTGCCATGTCTCACATTTGCCTCCACCAAAACCTCTACGATGCAAATAATCCCACTCACCACGCCGCCCACTACAGCGTGCAACCTCTACAACACAACAAGCACGCCGCACGCCGCGTACCCGGGCAGCGGTGGGCCCTGCGGTACACAAAGCCTGACTGGAGGTGCAGTGCACGTCCCCTCGCTCTCTATGGACAGCGCGGTGAACTTCTTTCGCACAGTACATAGCCAAACGTGCAGAGGAAGGACAACAAACTAAACACAAAAAGCAGTTCTAAAGAAATTAGTTTTCAATCGAGATTTAAAAGTGCGTAGCTCCAGCGGTTTCCTCATATCGGAAGGAAGAGCGTTCCAGACGGCCGCAGAAGCGCATCTGAAAGCGCCGTGCGATGCGGCGACCGTCTCCGTTCGACGGCGTAGCCACAAAGCCGCTGCTGCTGCCGCTGTGGCGATGACCGGTCGCTCTCTCTCTCGCTCGCTCGCGCGCCTCTGACCTGTGACCAGGCAGTAGTGAACCACTTGGAGCACGGCCGCTGGAAGCAGGAGGCCTCCTCCTGGGGCCGAGTGCCGGCGTCGCACTCGGGCGGCGGGAACTCGCGCAGCGCCGAGTTCACGGTGCCGGCACAGATCACGCGGCGCGTCTTCTTGCCCCGCCCGCACGTCGCGTTGCACTGGCGACGACAACGGTGATGACAATGGTGACGGTCACGGCGAGAATGATAGTAACGATGAAAACAACGACGACGACGATGAAATCTGTAAATGTTATAACATCGGTGGTTCTTCAATTGGCGGGTCGTATTGGGGGTCGGTGAACCAAGTGGGAATATCCTGAGAGGTGTGGCTCCCACAGAGCGCAATCAACCAACTGGCACAAAGCATTAATGAAAGAAACAGTGGGTGAAATTTTCTCCGTTAAATATTCGTAATATACCGATTTTCGGGGTCCCAGGACAGGGTGATTGGTTGCTTGTACGGTCATCATGAGCAGGCTACGAGGACAGGTAGCCGGATAGACGGACAGACGAACGGATGAACTAACTGAAACAGACGGGCCAGATAAATGTATTGACACGCAGAAGGATGGACGGACGGGCGGATGTGATGGACAAACAGACAGACAGCCGGGTTCATAATTGTGCTGATGCCGTGGAAGAGCCGGATGGATCGGCATGCGGACAGACAGTTGATGGATGAACGGACATACAGACAGACGGACAGACGCACGACAGGAGGAGGGAGGGGGTGCGGACCGACCTCCTCCCAGTCCTGCGCCAGCCAGCTGGGAGGGCAGTTGGTGCCGCACGGGTGCACGGCGAGCGGCTTGGAGGCAGGCGTCGCACTGCGAGTCCCCCAGCACGCTGCCTTCCGCGCTGCGACACGTCACGTAGCGGCGCACGGTGCCCTCCCCGCACGGCCCCGAGCACTGAGGGGGGGGGGGGGGGTGAGCGCAGGGTCAGCCACGACACCCGCCCCCCCGCTCAATTTGCACGTGCGTGGGTTGATTACTTCCTCCGCGTAGCCAACCGGGCACGGTGCGATGTGGTGGTGCGTGGTGTAGTGGTACGTGATGTGGTGGCGGTACGTGGTGTGGTGGCGTGGTGGTGTGGTGGTGTGGTGGTGTGGTGGTGCGTGGTGTGGTGCGTGGTGTGGTGTAGCGGTGTGGCGGTGTGGTGGTGTGGTGGTGCGTGGTGTGGTGGGGTGGTGGTGTGGCAGTGCGTGGTGTAGTGGTGTGGTGGTGCGTGGTGTGGTGGTGTGGTGGTGTGGCAGTGCGTGGTGTAGTGGTGTGGTGGTGGTGGTGTGGTGCGTGGTGTGGTGGTGTGGCAGTGCGTGGTGTATTGGTGTGGTAGTGGTGTGGTGCGTGGTGTGGTGGTGTGGCGGTACGTAGGTGTGGTGCGTGGTGTGGCGGGTGCGTGGTGTAGTGCGGTGGAGCGGCTCACCGGAGCCCACTCGGACGTGCTCCAGCGGCGGTCGCACGGAGTCCCCGTGCAGTCGCGCGCCGCCGCGGGGCGCGACGCCGCGTCGCACAGCCGCTCGTCCGCCGAGCAGCGAACCTCCCGGCGCATCTCCCCCTCGTCACCGCAGCGCGCCGAGCACTGATCGCACGCACGGCACAGCACACATGGTACACGTGGCACGCACAGTACACACGGCACACACAGGATAAGCGAATTACATAGCATCCCATATCAACGTCTTTTGAAAGGGCCGCCCTGCAGCGGCGGCTGTCCCTGTGTGGCGCAGCACGTGGTCCGCAAGCTGCCGTTCGTCTCCCAGCCAGGGGGAGAGGGGGGGGTTGACGTTTCCTGCTGTGCGTTTCCCCAACTCAGGACTTTGCAGTGTAAATGTTTTCTTTACCTGGCAAGTTTGGACCATGTTGCTGGCACGCGTGAGTTTTTGATTTTTCTAAAAAAAAATTAATGTACTATTTTTTTAACTTTTATTTTATTATTTTCTATCTACGTGACTTTACCGAAAGAACCAAAGAATATGACGCTTCTATCGCGAAGCTACCGCCAAGCCAACGGCGATGTTGCGTTCACTTTCGAGACGCCACGCGGCAATAACCGGGACGGCCTGCGGGATTCGAACCGCGCGAAAACCTCTGCAAACGAGCGGCAAGAGCGCTGCCGCTGGCGTCACGGTGGTGAGATGTTAACTACCTCGCTCGGTACACAGGAGGTCGGCGGTTCGATCCCATACCTGTCAACCCCTTATCAGTGCCCTACCTTATTACAGACCAACTCAGACCGCATTGGTCACCCCGTGCCCATTATAAATCTCAACGTTCATCCTACAAAGTCCCGTCACAAGGGAGAAACAAAAACAGACAAAAACATTCGACCCGTATTCAAACGGCTGTACGCCGCATGGACCCGAAAACTCAATTCTCCCGCACAAGAATCAGGGAACAACCGCGCACGGGCTGACAGCCGTGCGACGGCGACCCCGCCGAGTCCGCGCATCCGAGCCGCCCGCACCTCGGACCACTCGGACGTCTCCCACTGGGGGCCGCAGCCGGAGGAGCGGCAGGCCTTGCGCTCCGCGGGCCGCGGCAGTTCGGCCGCCTCGCACAGCTCCTCGTAAGCGGAGCTGTCGAAGCCCGGCGCCAGCATGCGCCAGCAGCGCACCGAGCGGAACTGCACCCCCTCGCCGCACGAGCGCGAGCACTCGCTCCAGCGGCTGTGCTCCCACCTGTGGGGGAGGGGGAGGGGGGGGAGGGGAGGGGGAGGGAGGGGAGGGGGGGTTTCAGGCGGCGGGCTGGGGGGGACCTCTTGGCGAAGGAAGCGATCGCAGGTGGAGCGCGGGGGAAATAAAGCAGCGCGGGGGAGGAGGGAAGGGGGGGAGGGAGGGAAGGGAGAGGATAGAGGGGGGAGGGAGACGAGGGAGGAAGGGGGAGGGAGGGGGTAGGAGGAAGAGGGGGGAGGGAGGACGGGAGGGAGGGGGTAGGAGGAAGAGGGGGGAGGGAGGACGGGAGGGAGGGGGTAGGAGGAAGAGGGGGGAGGGAGAGGGGGGGAAGGAGGAGGAGGGAGGAAGGAGGGAGGGAGGGGGAGGGAAAGGGGGGGGGGGGAAGGGAGGGGGAGGGAGAGGGGGGGAGCTCTGCTTGCCTTGGTTGACACTCACGTCCGGCGCAGAACTCGCGCGTGGGCTCGGGCCGCGTGACCGCGTCGCAGTACGACTCGTCCACCTCCGCGCCGTCGTAGCGGATGCAGACGGCGTACGACGTCGAGATGCCTGAAGGAGCACGCGCACACAAGACAAAGATCCCCCCTGTAGCCTTAACAGACTGTGGGGGAAAGTGCTGTTAGTGAGCACCTATGAAGGCCGGAACGGCACACGAGGGGGTGGGTGGCCAGCACCACGCCGGACCGCCTTTGTCTCCCCAGTGGCGATATTTACACACCCAACCAGGTACTTATTGGAGGCTGAGTCGACCTAGGGGAGGCCCAGGACCGATTCAGATAATCGTCACCGGTGGTGGCCGAGAGCGGGAATCGATCTCGGATCGGGCTCACCTCTACACTACCGCTCCCCACTCACACACACACAGACACACAGACAAATACACACACACAGACACACAGACAAACACACACACACGCATATGCACAAAGACTTCTCTTTTCTATGACATGACGAAATCTTGAACCTCCACCGTGAAGCGGACGGCGCGAATCTTACGGACAATCCGCCCGCAGCAATGACCAGAGCGGCCTGCCAGATATCAACCGCGTGTCCAGCCAGCGCTTCAGCCATTAGGCTGCACGGAGGCACCGCGGTAATGCTCGTGCCTCACAGCAAGAAAGCGCCCGGGTTCGATTCCGGAGTTGGGCTTCTTTCTGCGCGTAGTCTGTACACTCTCCCCATCGTTCTGCGTGTGTGCTACCTCCGGGTGCTCTGGTTTCCTCCCACAGCTAGCAGATAACCCCCCCCCCCCCCCCACATACAATGTAACCGGTATTGGTGAAAAACAACATCCCAATGCGGACAAAAAACTACACCGCAAATTACTCAATTGGGACCGCACGCAGCGGCCAGCAACGTGCCCCCTCCCCCGTCGCGCCACCCCCGACTGCGAAAACCTTGCCGGCACCCCCGAGAACAGAGAGTCGTGAGCGAGGATCTCACGGGGCCACCGGGCGTCACCTGTGGTGCACGTGGAGCTGCAGGGAGCGTAGGCCGAGACTTTCCAGCGGTACATGTCAGCCAGGCTGATGTCGTGCTCCACCGCGCCCAGCTCGTACTCGTTGCTGTCGCACAAAGACAAAGATAGCCGCACAATAACAAAAGCGGAGGGTTTAGGTTTTGGGTGAGATCGCGTGAATGTAAATGTGTGCGTCGTTAAACCCGCCACCACCACCCGACACGGCCTATCAAGTAAAGGTTGTGTCCTGTAAATAAAACGTGCCAAGTGGTTACGAGTTTTTATTTTTCGATTTAAAGCTTTCGTGACTGCAGGGATTCATATTATTGGTTCTTTCGGTAAAGTCACGTAGACGGGGAATAACAATAAATAAATACAAAACTTTTCTTTTATTATTTCCCTTCTACGTGACTTTACTGAAAGAACCAAGAATATGGTTACTCGTTGACAACACCGGTTGCGTTTTGGAAAGTGAACCCACCACAAAATTTGCAATGCAAGTTGCCGTGACGTTCTACATGTCATTGCAACCAGCATCATCAGGCAACAGCCAGAATTGTGGAGAAATCCCCCTCCTGTTTTGGTCTTAAATAGAGGGGTGCACGGGACGTCATCACCTGTGAGCCAATCAGGAGCGAAGACCAGAGGGGGTTGGGAGGGGGTAATGTAGCCATATAAATAATTACAGTGGTTGTCCGTTATTAGTTGGGTTATTCATAGTTAATCAACATTGTTAATCAACATTGTACATTACCAACAAATATTACTTCCTGTGTAGCCTTCTATCGACTGTCGGGGCAAGCGCTGTTTGCGAGTAGCACCGATGAAGGCTGGCACGGCACACGATGGGGGATGGTGGATGGTCAACACCACGCCCGGCTACCTTGGTCTCCCCATTGTGTGAATTGGTGAAGAGTCAAACGGGTGAGTTAGTCAAGAAATGAATGAGTGAGTGAATGAAACAAACGTGTGAATGAATGAGTGAATAATTAAACAAGTGAGTGTGTATGTGAATGATTATATAGGTGAATGAAAAGTGAAACGGAGAAATACATGAGTGAATAATTAAACAGATGAGTTAGTTAATGAATGAGTTATTGAATTGGTGAATGACGAAACGGGTGAATGATTGCAATGACTCAACAGGTGATGGAACGAGTGAACGACTAAACAGGTGAAGGCATGACTGAATTTCCTAAACAGGCGACTGAGTGGAAAGATAAAACATAGCTTCGTTTTATGTGTAAATTTTAAAGTGACTTGTTTACCTCTCCTTTACTTAGCACTCCTATCGTGTTGTTGTGTTGTTTGTTGTTGTACCGTTCTGACGCGCCCCGACTGGACATCTGTGAAAAAAAGCTTTACAGCTCATCGGATTCCTCCTCCAGTCTAAATAAAGATTATGATTCTGAGTGAATGGGCGAGCGGGCGGGCGAGCGAGCGAGCGGGGCGAGCGGGCGAGCGGGCGGGCGGGCGAGCGGGCGAGCGGGCGGGCGAGCGGGCGAGCGGGCGAGCGAGCGGGCATCAGATCACTTCTCACACTTCGGACTCGGAGGCCTCGGCTGGCCGCTGGGGAGGCCGCTGGGGTCGTGACGGGCGACCCCCTGCTCTGTCGAGGCTGCGGTTGGCGTTGCCGGAGGACATCAGCGTGAGGGCGTTGGGGCCCCATCCTCCTCCGTCGGCCCGCTCGAGGCCCAGCGCCCTCGTCCCGTTCCTCAGCTCCGAGCCGCGGCCCCCAGCGGCGAGCGAGGAGAGAGGCCGACTCCTGCGCACTGCACGGAGACACGCGGGCCACGCGGGGCCTTGTCGCACGCTGCTGGGGCGAGCGCTGCGAGCGCTGCCGAGATGTTGACTACCTCGCCTGGGAGGCAGGAGGTCGTGGGTTCGATCCCGACCCTGACGCCTGCTGCTCTATATTTGGAGTTTGCGTGTCTCCCCCCCCTTGCCGGTGTGGATTTTCTCCGGGTCCTCCGGTTTTTCCCTCCACATTTAAAATCAACGTTCACGCGTTGAGAGTATTTTGGCTGCTATAAGTTCCCACGTGATGATAAGCCAGTTCGTTGGGCGAGCATTTGTGGCCATGTCGTTTCCGAATAAAGAGCTGTATAGCTCAGTGGGTCGTACCTGGTAACATAAACATTAAAATAAACATTGTTATTAGTTTATTTTAAGGCGTGGGGCCCACTTTTCTAGACCACCACGCTGTGCCCGTTTGGCCCAGCCACACAGGTGAGCACGGCTGTATACGTACGGTGAAAAAGAAGTTCAGCATTCGCACGTGAAGGACATCGATGACGATCCGTCGTCAACTCAATCGCCCGGTCGCTAGCCACTGGCTAATCATCGCTGTCCCCGGGACTATCCCCGTTGGCCAGGTGGGACAGCCACTTGATGGTGCGTTCGAGCGGCAAGCGCCGGGTTGGCTGGGGGGATTCAATGGGGATTATGGCAGGGGTTCGGTTCCACGTCGCAACGTCTGAAGGAGGTGGGTCGGGGTGGGGGGGGTTGTGAGAAGACGTCAGGGATGGGAGAGAGGAGCTTCGGGCTCACGTTGAAGACCTCCCCACGAAGTAGGCGGCTTGTTGGGGGGCGAGCCGCTGTGACGGAGACGTGAGCGCGTGTGCCGGACTCTCCCACGCGGCCCGAGGGAAGCCGCTCGCATGCGTCTATGTGGGACTTCTTTTGCACCGTATGTGGCCACCCGTGCTCATGGGGGTTGCAGGAGGGGGGGGGAAGGACAACTACGCAGCGGGTGGCCACGTGAGTCCGACAACATCAGCGGCGTCGCGGCGCCAACTGGCGGTGCCGTTGCCAGGCCACGTCGGGCGCACCGTGACCTTTGGCAGGTCACGGGGCGCAGCTGCGCTCCCCCACTGCGCCAGGAGGGCGGCACGACGCCGGCGCGTACAAATCTACACACCCACCGCTCGCGCCACTCCGCGGCGGTGAAGTCACCGGGGGACGTGTTGCCAGCCTGGGCACGCGTTGAGGCCACGACAGGTGCTGAAGGCTCACTGGCAGGAGGTCACGGGACAGCTCCAGGTGCTGTTGGCTAAATGAGTGAGACGACTGGCAGATGGACCACCTGCGCTCCGCACTACTCCGCACTATGCCATGACAACAAGACAAAGACCCCCTGTGTAGCCTGAACACACCGCTGAGGCAAGTGCTGTCAGCGAGCACCGATGACGGCCGGGAAACAGCACATTAGCGGGTGGGTGGCCAGCACCACGCCCGGCCGCCTTTGTCTCCCTGGTGGCAATGTTTACACATCGTACCAGGTATTCGTTTGAGGTTGAGTCGACCTAGAGGAGGTCCAGGACCAGTTCAGAAATTTGTCTTGAGCGGGAATCAAACTCGGGTCGGCGGGCTCTATAGCGCAGCTTGCTAACCACTCGCTCACCTACTCACTCACCCACCCACTCACCAACTCACTCACCCACTCACCCACTCATTCACCAACTCACTCACCCACTCATTCACCAACTCACTCACCCACTCACTTACCCACTCACTCACCCACTCACCCACTCACTCACTCACTCACCCACCCACCCACTCACTCACTCAGTCACCCACCCACTCACTCGCTCACCCACTCGCTCACCCAACTCACCGGATACGAAGAGTGCCCTGGCGGCCCCGAGCACCGAGCCGTTGGCCACGACGTTGGAGCCGCCCCCCCCCGCCCCCCGCGAGGCGAAGGCCAGCGACGCGTTGGCCGTGAGCGGCTCGGGGAGGGGGGCGGCCGAGGCGCGCGCCGCCGGCCCCCCCCGGGACGCCGCCGCGGTGCCCCCCCCCACGGAGTGGGCGGCCGTGGCGGCGGCGGCAGCGGCGGCGCGGCGCTCGCCGATGTCGTTGCCGCTGGGCGGGGGTCGCTCGCGCGCCACCACGAAGTTGTCCACCAGGAGGTGCACAGCGCCGCCCGCTCCTCGCTCCAGGGACACCTCCTGGGCGGCGGGCATGCGGGACAATGACAACGACGGTGATGGTGGTGATGGTGGTGATGGTGATGATGATGGTGGTGATGATGGTGGTGGTGGTGATGGTGGTGATGACGGTGATGATGATGATGATGGTGGTGATGATGGTGGTGGTGGTGATGGTGGTGATGACGGTGATGATGATGGTGATGATGATGATGGTGGTGGTGATGGTGGTGATGATGGTGATGATGGTATCAACTTGGAATGGCACCGCCGCCGTCGAGCAGTGCCGTTCGCTCTCAGAGACAGAGACAGACAGAAATAGAGAGGCGGGGCGAGAGGCACCAGCAGGAGGCACCAGACAGGCAGCAGCAGGAGCAGCAGCAGCAGCAGGAGCAGCAGCAGGAGCAGCAGGAGCATCAGCAGGAGCAGCAGCAGGAGCAGCAGCAGGAGCAACAGCAGCAGCAGGAGCAGCAGCAGCAGGAGCAACAGCAGCAGCAGCAGGAGCAGCAGCAGCAGTAGGAGCCCGGTGGTGAGCCGCTGCTGCTGCTGCTGCTGCCAGCTGGTCTCTTTTATTTTACCAGGTTTAGCGCTGCTGAGCTCCGTAGCTCTTTTTCAGAAGCGACCTGGCCACAAATGACAGCTCAACGAAGTGGCTTGTCACGTGGTAATGTATAGCAGCCACATACTCTGAACGCGTGTTTATAATTGTGGAGGGAAAAACCGGAGGCCCCGGAGAAAACTCCTCTCGACCACGAGGAGAGAGAGAGAGGCACGCAGACTCCACACACACAGAGCGGCAGGCGTCACCGTGGGGATGGGACCCACGACCTCGCCACCGCACCCCATCAGCACCCCACCACCCCATCAGCACCCCATCACCACCACCCCACCACCACCACCACCCCACCACCACCACCACCACCACCACCACCACCACCACCACCACCACCACCACCCCACCACCACCACCACCACCCCACCACCACCACCCCACCACCACCACCACCCCACCACCACCACCACCACCACCCCACCACCACCACCCCACCACCACCACCACCCCACCACCACCACCCCACCACCACCACCACCACCACCACCCCACCACCACCACCACCACCCCACCACCACCACCACCCCACCACCACCACCACCACCACCCACCACCACCACCACCCCACCACCACCACCACCACCACCACCACCACCACCACCACCCCACCACCACCACCCCACCACCACCACCACCCCACCACCACCACCACCACCCCACCACCACCACCCCACCACCACCACCACCACCCCACCACCACCACCACCCCACCACCACCACCACCACCCCACCACCACCACCACCACCACCACCACCACCACCACCACCACCCCACCACCACCACCCCACCACCACCACCACCACCACCACCACCACCACCACCACCACCACCACCACCACCACCACCACCACCACCACCACCACCACCACCACCACCACCACCCCACCACCACCACCCCATCAGCACCACCACCACCACCCCACCACCACCCCCCCACCACCACCCCCCATCAGCACCCCCCACCAGCACCCACCTCCGGCACGTGGGAGTCGTCCACGTCGTTGTCGGCGTCGCGCAGCTGCAGGAACTGCGGCCGCTCGGGCAGCGACGGCGTCGCCTTGGTGATGGGCACGCGCGGCACCGTGAACTCGTACGTCACGTACTGCATGCGCCCGTTCTCGTTCAGCAGCTGCGGGAGGGAGAGACAGAGGCGGCGATGACGAAGACGACGATGACGACGGTGATGACGACGACGACGATGATGATGACGGTGATGACGACTGCGATGACGACGGTGATGACGATGACGAAGATGATGACGACGGCGATGACGAAGACGATGACGACGACGATGACGACGGTGATGACGACGACGACGGCGAAGATGACGACGATGACGATGGCGACGATGAAGATGACGATGACGACGATGACGAAGACGACGATGAAGATGACGATGACGGCGGCGATGACGACGGCGACGCGCTCCACCTCGACGCTGCCCGACATCGCCGCCTCCTCACTCGCTCGCTCGCTTGATGGACTTATTTGCTCGGTGAGTCCCGGATCATCGCTGGGCCTGACTGGGAGACCGAATCGAGCTGGAGACCTCGACGTTGAAGCTCAGCACGTCCTCGGCAACTGCGACCTTTGCTATTCGCAATGAAGGTTGTTGTTGTGTTAGATCGCGTGAACATGAATGTTGTCGTTCACCCAACACCACCCCATCGGTGAGGCTTGTCACGCCAACAGAACGTGCCAAGTGGTTACCTGCTGCTAGCGCCACCGGTGCGCGTTGCAGCGTAGACGGACGACATTTTACGTAGAATTCTACAGTTAGCATGATCGGAGGTCGCCTGATAGATTTGATCTGCCCGTACGGCAGGTGAAGCTCCCTGTGAGTGGAAGATTAGGCCAAAGTACCTCCTTCTGGAGGGGGCCCTCTGGCTCTAGTGGAAGACCTTCCGCTACCCGCTTGGCGTGAGCGAGCAAATCGCATTTTTTTCTGCTCGTGCCCAAAGGATTGGCCACAAACACTTCCTTCCAAGCGCCGAGCAAGGAGAAGGTGAAGACAAAAAAAAATTATTGGCAAAACGACTTTGAGCAAAAGAGTCACGTGACAACAGCAACGAACCCGTCGAGCGCTTTGAAGGGCTGCTGGGACTTTGTTTTATCCATGTCCAAATAATAAATGGCCATCATGATTAATGCCAATCAGCCCCCGACCCCGCGCTCTCACAAGCCGGAGGCCGTCGCGTTCGCAAGACGGACTCCGCAAATGAGCGCAGAATTTGGCGGTTGTGCCAGACGGCGAGACATTTTATATATATATTTTTTGTAACCTTTATAACAACAACAAAAACATTCTACACATCGTTTCCAATGTATTTTTAAATGTACCCTTTTTTCCACCCTCTTCCCCCGCCGCCTGCAAACCATCCAGCAACCCCAATGGTCCCGACACGTCAACTCCAATCGCGAAACGCACAACTCTCACTCCGCACGGATTTAATAAGGGCAGCCCCCCCACCCCCAACCCTAGTGCCTCCCACCCCCCCGCCCCACCGCTTGAATAATTCCTAAACACCAAAGGGGTTTCGTGTTTTATTTTCTCTCTCTTCAATTCTCCAATGAAGAAGAATGGGAGCACGATGGTAGTCATTGCTCACCTCGAGTCACGGCCCTGCGTGGCTTCATCGCAAAGCATCGACCAACGATCAGACCGCCACTGTCACGATCATTATGATCACGGTTGGCTACGTAGCGGAGCAAAGGAAGTCCACCCACACCGTCGGTACGTACCAGGAGCAGTACCCCTCTGACGCAAAGATGAAAGTCTTTCAAAAAGTCACCTGGTGAAGGTGACAGCCAAAGCCTTTTGGCGGCGGTCGTGCTTATGCCGCTGCTCGTGGAAAGTGAATTGCTCGAGAGCAGTAGTAGTAGTAAAACAAAACACCCTCCAGAGGGTATTTGGCCTACTCTTCCACGCTGATCACACGATGTTTGGAAGATGTAGGAGAAACCCACACTTTACCCCACCGCACGCGGCCCGCCGATCGATGCCGGAGCGGCTGGACGCGTTTAAGCTGCCGGCTGGACCGCGTCGAACGCAGGGGATTGACGACAGAAGGATCGGCTTCACCCATTCTGGCAATAACACGGCAGCTGTGCGATAAGATGCTCAAACACCAAACAGATGATAGCTATTGCAAGGCATCACGTCTGCATTAGCCACACGCACTTGTGGGAAAATCGTGCAAACGAACGTGCTCTGGTAGTTGCATCGCCTTTGTACTGTCCGCCTGTTGCGCCGTTCGGCGTTCTCTGGTCTAACACTGGTGAAGAGACGAGGCCATAAAAGAAGGCTGGTGGTCACGTGTTTCGCGTGACGCTGGTGGTTACGTGTTTACTGTGACGCTGGTGGTCACGTGTTTAAGCGTGACACTGATGGTCACGTGTTTAAAGTGACACTGATGATCACCTGTTTACCGTGACGCTGAAGGTCACGTGTTTACTGTGACACTGAAGGTCACGTGTTTACTGTGACACTGATGGTCACCTGTTTACTGTGACACTCATGGTCACCTGTTTATCGTGACGCTGAAGGTCACGTGTTTAAAGTGGCACTGATGGTCACCTGTTTACCGTGACGCTGCTGGGCACGTGTTTACCGTGACGCTGCTGGGCACGTGTTTACCATGACGTTGATGGACTGCGTGGTGGGCCCCGCAGCCACGATGTACTCAAAGCCGTCCGAGAGCACGTTGGAGGGCCTCCGGTACTTGAAGACGGTCCCGGCCATGCGGAAATTCCTCGGGTTGTCCAGGATGAAGTTTCCGTTGATAAAGAAATTCCCAGAGTCGTCTGCAAGCGCTAATAAATAAAGTTCCACACACGTACAACATACAACGGGGGCACCACGGTGGCGAGATGTTAACCACCTCGCCTGGTATGAAGGAGGTTGTGGGTTCAATACCGACCCTGACGTCAACTGTATATTTGGAGTTTTCGTGTCTCCCCGTGGTCGCGTGGATTTTTCTCCGGGTTCTCCGTTTTTTCCCTCCACATTTAGAATCAACGTCACACGTATGGAGTGTTTGTCAGCCATAACTGTCCACGCAATAAGCCACTTCGTTGAACTACCATTTGTGGTCAGCTCACTTCTGAAGAAAGAGAGTTATATCGCTCAGCGGGCCTTACCTGGCAAAGTTAAAATAGTTTCGTCTTTTTTACAAAGATCCCCTGTGTAGCCTTAACAGACTGTAGGGGAAAGTGCTGTTCGCGAGTAGCACCTATGAAAGCCGGCACAGCGCACGAGATGGTGGGTGGTCAGCACCGTGCCTGGCTGCCTTTGTCTTCCCAGTGGCGATGTTTGCACACCATAGCAGGTACTCATTCTTAAGGCTGAGTTGGCCTAGGCTTCGGCCCAGCACGTTGGCCATGAGGGGCAATCGAACCCGGGTCGTTGGGCTCGTAGTGCAGCGTGTTAACCACTGCACCACCGCTCCCCACCCACATCCACACACGTGATAATACGTTATGCTGCTGCTGGTGGTGATGATGATGGTGATCGTGATGATACTGCTGCTGATAATAATAATAATGCTGTTGCTAATGACGACAATGTTGATGACGACAATTATGCTGCTGCTTCTGGTAATGCTGACGTGTGCCACTGCTGATGAGTGTTATGCTGCTGCTACAGCTACTAACGATGATGATGAAGCAATATCTGCCGCTAATGATGACAATGATGGTGATAACAATTATGAAGCTTCCACTGCTGCTGTGTCTGTTAATGCTGATGGCTGCTGTTGACGAAAGAAACAACGATAAGCCGGCGATGAAGACGACGATGATGACGACGATGATGAAGACGGCAAAGAAGAGGATGACGATGATGAAGACGATGAAGATGGTGACGATGACGAAGATGATGGCGATGGAGACGAGTTACCAAGGACATTGTCCGAGCGTTTCTTTTCGATGACCTGGATGTCGGTGGCGCCGATCGGGACGTTGGTCACATAGACATAGCCTGCACACACGCACACACACATACACATAGATATACGCACACACATACATACACACATACACATACACACATACACGCACACATAGACATAGTCTGCACACACGCACACAACAACTGCCATTCGCCACTAAGTGGCGGTGATGTCACTACGACGCTTGTGCCAGGCCATGTGCACCTTGAGGCCACATGAAGTGTCGAACGCCCGCTGGCAGGAGGTCATGGGGCAGACCCAGCAGATGTCTCGGGTCGACTGACAGAGATGACCGAGATGACTGGCTGATGCACCACCTGTGCCCCCTACTGTACCAACTTGCTGTGCTTTAGCCACCCGGCGTTCCGCTCGTTGTTGTGAGCGTCGCTCCTCCGCCCTCCGTTGTTGTTGGAGGGTGACTGCCTCCAACTGCCTAGTAGCGTCCTTCACGAGCCTCCTCCACAGATGCCGATATTGACACTGCTGGTACCAGTCATCGGCAAGTCCACTCAGCTCCACGTCCTCCTGTACCACATCACTCCATCTCTTCTCTAGCCCGTGCCGCGCCCGTTTAGCCCCCTCGATCCGGCCGAACAAAAGCTGTTTAGGCATGCGGTGGCTGGGCATGCGGGCTACATGATCCAGCCAACGCAGCCTTGCCTGCCGGAGGAGCTCACCGATGGGACTTTGCCCAGATCTTTCAAGGATTCGTGAGCTCCTCACACAATCCAGCCTGGTTAAACCCAGGATGGATCGCAGGCAGGCCAGCCTAAATGTTTCTAACCTGCAAAGATGCTCCATTAGGGGGGTCCACGTTTCGCAAGCGTAGAGAAGGGAGGGAATGACCGTGGCCGAGAAGACCTGAAGCTTCGTGCGGAGTGACAGACCAGGTAGCTTCCACACAGCGTTACGCAACCGATGAAAATATATTGCCGCTCGACTGATTCGGAGTGAGACCTCTGCTGTTAAACCGGAGCCGGTCATAAGCACACTGCCCAGGTATGGGAAACTCTCCACTCTCTCCACAACTGCCCCATCACTGATTGGGAGTTGTGGGGGTGGAGTGTCCGATGGTACAAAATACGCAAGCAGGTGCTTAGTTTTGGTGGGGCTGATGGTAAGGCCCCACCTCTTATTGGCACGCTCCAGTCTCAGCAGCAGCGTCTCCAACTCCTCCTCTGAATGAGCAGCTATTACCAAATCATTGGCATACATAACGTGGTTGACCAATAGGGAACCATCCCTTGATCGCACCCAGGCATCGATCAGCCTCCCATCATATCTGTACCAAATGGAAATTCCCTTGGTACAACTATTGAAGGCTTCACGAACAACGTGGTCAAAATAGATGTTAAATAATGTGGGAGCCAGAGGACATCCCTGTCACACCCCAAGGTATACAGGGAATGGCTCTGACTCCCGGCCACGTAGTTTTATCCGGGCCCGCTCACCATCATGAAGGTCCTTAATGATCGTGAGCAGAGGGTCAGGGACTCCGAAAGAACGAAGAACAACCCAGAGCCCAGGCCTACTGATGGTATCATTGACATTGACCAGGTCAATGAAGCAGAGATGTAGGTCTTGTTGGAATTCCCTACACCTCTGCTGTAGCAGATGGACAGAAAATATGGCATCTGTGCAGGACCGCCCTCTCCTGTAACCGCATTGGGGATCCACAAGCCTCTCCTCAGCATGCCTAGCAATGCGATGTTGAATAATCCTTGCCAGGACCCTTCCCGGCACACTGAGGAGTGAGATGCCCCTGTAGTTGTTACAGTATGTGCGGTCCCCCTTCTTAAAGAGGGGGACCACCAGGGCAGTCCTTCCAGTCCTGCGGAACCCATCCAGTGGTCCAGACTGTTGTTATGATGTCATGTAGGGCAGTCTGTGCACAAACGCCACCCTCCCTCAGCATTTCGCTTGGGAGATCATCTCTGCCCGGTGCCTTTCCTGGTCTCAGACTCTGGATTTCCTTCAGTACTTCCTCAACGGATGGCACCTCAGCCAGCCACTCACAGGGGGTGGCTTCCTCCTCCAACATTTGAGGCACCGCAGCCTCAGTAGGGTCATCCCCACTTAGTGCCACGATGTTTTCCTGGCTGAGGGATTTCCCCTCCCCCAGGACCTCACAGAAATGCTCAGCAAATCTGCAAACCTGTTCCTGGGGGTCGGAGATTGGATCACCGTTCTTTCCCCTAATGATGGTAATAAGTGTGGCGCTGCAGGTTACTTTTTTGATGGAGTTAAATAGGGATTTGTGATCGCGGGCCACTGAGGCATCTCCTCAGCAACCTGCGACCACCACCCATCCTTGCAGCGCCTCACGGCTCTCCGAACCTCCGAGCGAAGGCTGCGGTAAGAGCACACACACATAAACACACATACACACATACATACACAAAGATAAAGACAAATATCCCCCGTATAGCCTTAACAGACTGTAGGGGCAAGTGCTGTTAGCGAGCACTTATGAAGGCCGGAACAGTACACGAGGGGGTGGGTGGCCAACACCACGCCCAGCCGCCTTTGTCTCCCTAGTGGCGATGTTTACACATCGCACCAGGTACTCATTTGAGGCTGAGTCTACCTAGGGGAGGCCCGGGACCGGTTCAGATCATCGTCACTGGTGTTGGCCGTGAGCGGGAATCGAACCCGTGTCGCCAGGTTCATAGCGCAGCGCGCTAACCGCTACACTGCCGCTCCCCACCATACACACACGCACACACAAAGTGCAAATCGCATGCAAGAGAAGGGTGACCCACTTAGGCAACAGCTGCTTTTGTTAAACTGCCCAATTTTTTTTGGCTCTTTCTCTCTCCTCTCTCTCCTCTCCTTCTCTCTCCTTGGCGTGGCTGACCTGTCAGCTGGCTGGCTGGCACACTCAAACACAAAGTGCCTTCGAGTTTATAATTCGCATACTTTCGCAAGCTGAAGAAAGAAAAATGACAACCGAAATAAAATGAACATTAAAATCAATATAACGACTGCTGACAAAACGCCAGTGTTTTCTCATTTACAAGGGAGGGAGGGAGGGGTAACTGGAGGATCAAGAGGATTTTGCCAAGCCCCTCACCCCCCTCCCCCCCCCCCGTTTGGAACGACAAAAACTCACTGCCCGGTTTCCAATCCACGTCGTTTCGTTCAAATAGCTGCCACTTTATCCCCACTTGTAAATCCTTCAAGAACAGAAAATAAAACCCCATCCCTCCCACACACACAATACGAACGATACAATTAATACTCTTAGTTTTTTTTCGGTAAAGTCACGTAGGTAAAAAATATAAAATAAATAAAAATGAAAACAAATAAATTAAATCACGAACTTTCGGAAGCAACACAAGCAACCGTCATCAGGTGTAGACTGCTCCAGCAAAATTACTGAGGCGTATGAAGAGAGTTATTACGAGACAACGGGTTTATATTGGGTGCTAGGGGGGGGGAGGGGTCAAGGGGTGAGGGGGGGGGTATGTGGCAGGCCGTGTGGACGGTCGGGCACGAGATTAGCATGAGTTAAGCCGACAGATAACCATCTGTATTATTTTGTGATGTCAGGGGAGGGGAGTTTGTGCATGAGTGATGGTGGTGTATCAGGCTGGGAGTAACAAACTGGAAGAAATGGATATGGCTGTAAAATTATAAGGCAGCTAAAGTTAGACTTGGTTGATGACATCTTTCCAATGATTGCTTAATTTAAAACCATCCTCTCGGTTGAAGTTGTGTCTATGTTTGTATATCTGGATGGCTTCATGGACAAATATTTGGTAGTATCCAGGAGGTTTGCAGAGTACTTTGGTATCGAGAAAACAATATCATGAGAACCCGCTGTGTTGAAACAATGATCAGCTACGGCCGAAGAATTCGTTCTGCCGTGTTTCAAATCTGACTTGTGCTCGCGAATTCGGTCAGAAATGTGTCGTTTCGTCTCCCCGATATAGCAGTCACCACAGGTACAACTCAGTTTGTAAACACCGGGGTACTGTAAGTCAGGAATGACATCCTTTACGGATGGGATCAGATCACGGATGTTGTGTACTATATTGAATCGGAGCTGGATCTTGTGTTTGTTTAGAATTTTGGAAATATTTTTGATAACGCCTGCTATGTATGGCAACGTGATGATTTTGATTGGAGTCTCAGGGGGTTGTTTCTGCATGGTGGGAAAAACAGCTTGGCGGATAGCACGGTCCGAGTATCCGTACATCTTGAGGGCCAGATGTACATGTTCCAATTCACTGGTCAGGTGGTGTTGGTCAGAGATGCAGTGGGCCCTATGGTATAGTGTTTTGATGAGGGAATTATTTTGTGCCGGATGGTGGTGGGAATCAGGCTTCAAGTAGGAATCTGTGTGGGTGGCCTTCCTGTAAACAGAATGTCCCAAAGAGCCATTGGGCCTCCTCTTAAACAGAACATCCAGGAATGGTAGCTTGCCATCCTTCTTCACTTCCATGGTAAATTTTATGAATGGGTGTCTGGAATTGATGTGGTCTAGGAATGGGTTCATTGCTGGGAGGCCATGTGGCCAAATGAAGAAAGTGTCATCCACATATCTCTTCCACAGGGAAAGACGCAGGGTGGATGTCTGGATGGCATCTGTTTCAAATTTCTCCATGAAAACATTGGCTATGACTGGCGACAAGGGGGGACCCATAATGTCAGCCATGATCCTGCTCCAAATACGCAACCAAGCATTGGCGCTCCCCTCCCGTCTACAGCCCTGCAGAGCCAGTGGTGGAAGTTCCACATTCCCATGGCAGGAGCAAGTGTATTATCTGTGACCTGCCACTTCACTTCCCAGCGAAGTGGCACTCGACTGATCGAGCACGGAATCGGCGATGGGTCGCGTCAACCGCGACCCGGGGTGTGAACTCCGCCGGGCGGCACAGTGCTCAATCCACTGCTGGATGAAGGCCTCAAAAAGATACACTCCACCAAGATACGCATCCTACTCACATCCAGCGTTGACAAATCGTAGCGGTTCGCGCCGACATTTAAGCACGAGGCGACTGTGAGAGAATGCACAGATCGCACGACTACACCCACAGCAAGGGGCTTCTTTCAACAAATTGATGTTCGAACAATATGGCATCGGTGCAACGGCTCGCACACAAACTGTCACACGCACCGACGTCGCTACTGATCCCACACTCGCCGTCACACGCACCGACGTCGCTACTGACTCCACACTCGCCGTGACAAGCACCGACATCGCTACTGATCCCACACTCGCCGTCACACGCACCGACGTCGTCACTGACTCCACACTCGCCGTCACACGCACCGACATCGTCAGTGACTCCACACTCGCCGTCACACGCACCGACATCGCTACTGACTCCACACTCGCCGTCACACGCACCGACATCGTCAGTGACTCCACACTCGCCGTCACACGCACCGACATCGCTACTGATCCCACACTCGCCGTCACACGCACCGACGTCGTTACTGATTTTGCGGTAGTTCCCGGTCACTCGCAAGCAGCTGCTGCTGTCGCCCCCGCAAACGCCGCACTTGTCGACCCGCTTGGAGGAGTAGAGAACTCCGTCGCATCCCACGACCTGCAGGAGGCACAAAACCACAGGAGCGTCGCTCAGCATCGTCGTCGTCGCTCTCAGAATCGTCGTCATCGGAATCTTCACGGCGAGGGCGCAGCCCTGACGACGCTGCTGGTGGAAGGGCCCCACTTAGAGAGGGAGCTCTCAGTAGCCCCGTTGGTCAAATGTCTTGGAGGAGGTGGGAGTGCAACGCGTTCCATTTCGTCGTCACAGCAGCAAAATCGAGCGCTGTGGCGCGATTCTACGCTGACCTCCGCCTTACCGGCGTGAAGTTTGGTCAAGTAACCACACGGACCGCGTGGCGTGGGGAGGCCCCTCATCCAACAGCGGATTGGCTACGAGGACTGTTTAAACTATGATTTATCTTACCAGCCCACTGAGCTGTACAGCTTAGTTCTTTTATAAAAGTGACCTGGCCACAAGTGATAGGTCAACGAAGAGGCTCATTATTCAATACCCTAAGCGTACGCTGATTTTAAATGTGGAGGGAAAAACGTGGAGGACTCAGAAAAAAATGCACACGACCACGGGAAGAGAGAGACATGCAAACTCCAAATATACAGCAGGCGTCAGGGTTGAGATTGAACCCACGACCTCCTGTATACCAGGCGAGTTAGTTAACATCTCGCCACCACGGCACGTATATAGGATTGCACCTACATAGGGTTGCACGTATATAGGTTTGCACTATATAGGGTTGCCCCAGTCTGGTAGTCGATGTCTGTGTGTGTGGCGGCAGGAATGAATCTGCACCAAGTCCTGTTATCGCTGAACCTTCAACACTGCGACTTGGACCCTGACGGTGACAACGACGACGACGCTCGGCAATGGAGTTCGCCGCAAGTCACCAACAACCACCCCCTCGTGAGAGAGCCGACGAGGCAGATCTTCCGTGAAGCTCATGGTGGCCTCAAGCACATCCACCACACTAACCGCGGCAGGGTCAGACGCGGTTATACTCGACGATGATTCACAAATGGAAAATCTAAAACACTCCCGCAGTGTGCGGTGACTGCGGTCATCCATAAAAGCCCACGGAACATTTATTGGGTGTCCCAAATCCAAAACACAACGGAGTGCTTTGGATTTTCCATCTGTGCATGGGACATACAGCACAGTATGTTCTCCCATAACGCCACACGTTGTTTTGATACAGCGAATTGGATATAACAGGAGGCGTCGTCGTCGTCCACGCAGCGATACTCCACTCCGCGAACGGCCGTAGGAAAATCTGAAGCCGGTCGGTCGACTGCCGCACGCTTGTGGGCACACCGCGTGTGCCACCCGATCAACGACAACCTCAAGCTCGGCAGAAGAGGCGCGTGCCCGCCGAGGCTATGCCGCGTGAGACTTCCTGCGACCTTCCCGCGACCTTCCGCGTCGTCAATCCACTGCTGGTGGCGGGACTCCTCGCGCCGTGCGGGGTTCGCGGTGAGGGTCACGTGACCCGATGCGGTCGCGTGGATTTCGTCTCCGGGACATCGACGCGGTTTAGAGCACTTTGCTGCGGCTGTGACATGTCCACGTGACGTTGATAAGCCACTTGGTTGAGCTAAGCGTCTGTGGTGGCCAGGTCGCTTCCGATAAAAACAGGGCCTACTGTAGCTCAGGCGGGCCTTGCCTGGGTAAAATGAACACGCAAAATACGCGTTGGGTTTTGAAAACTTGGCCGCCGGTGAGGCCTCGCTCGTGAAATCAACTTGGAGGTGTGAGTGGTGTTCGTGCTGCCGGCTGGCGGCCCCCACCTCGCACTTCCCGGCGATGCAGACGCCGCGGAAGTTCCTGTCCTTGCACGAGGTGCCGTCCCGCGCCCTCGTGATGAGCTGCCTCTCCCCGTTGGCCGTGGTGCACTGCAGGTCGCACGGCTTGTTCGAGATGTTGATGTAGTCGTCTGCGCGCGGGAGACGGCGGCACAGGGATCGATCAAGTGGACGCGGGCGGGAGGGCGCGGTGAGACTTTGAAACATCCCATCCCACCGGCGTGTCGCCTGAGCAGAACTGCTGTTGGGGTCAAGCGCTGTGAGCGAGCGAGTCGCACGCGGGCGAGTGCTCGCTCACAGACGCGTCACACAAAGACAAAGATTCCCCCGTGTAGCATTCATCAGACTGTAGGGTCAAGTGCTGTTAGCGAGTGGAACCTATGATGGTCGGCACGGCACACGAGGGGGTGGGTGGCCAGCACCACGCCCGGCCGCTTTTGTCTCCCCAGTGGCGATGTTTACTACACATCACACCGGATAAACATTTCAGGCCGAGTCGACCTAGGGGAGGCCCAGGGCCAGTTCAGATAATTGTCACCGGTGTTGGCCATGAGCGGGAATTAAACTCGGGTCGCCGGGTTCGTAGCGTAGCGCTCAGCGCTACACCACCGCGTCCCACTCCCCACACACACCACACACACACACACCACACACACCACACACACACACCATACACACCACACACACACACCACACACCACACACACATCACACACACACACACCACACACACACACCACACACACACCACACACACACACCACACACACACACATCAAACACCACACACATCACACACACCACACACACACGCACGGGCAGTCACCTGGGTAAAATGGAATCCACTGTAAATATTTGCCGTCGTAAGGCTTGGAGTTGAAGACGGAGCACTGCTCGACGCGGAACCCGCGGCTGTTGGGCGGGCAGGGCTGCAACGAGAACGAGAGGAGCGCACGCGGCGAGGGAGTTGACGCCGCCATCTCGCTCACGGCCGCCACCTTCACCAAATCGATCGTCAACCAAGAATCTCAGCAACGTCAACTCGCAGCCCACTTAAGTCCCCCCCCCCCCTCACCCCCCGGTGCTGTCACCGTTCTAGCATCTCGCCCAGGTCCTGGAAGGAGGCTGCGGGCGGACCGAGCGCAACACAACAACGCGGACTTCCAACAAGGGACACCAACTCATCCCAGAAACCAAACATGGCCGCGCCTCCTGGCTCCGGCATCCTTCCTCCTCGGAGACACCGGTGGTGTCACCCGTTCACCGCAACAGAACGTCAACAGGCCGCTGTGCAACATCTCCTTTCTGGCCATGGTGACAACACTCTCCACCGTGGAGTTAAACCACTGTTAGTGAACTAGTAAACCACTTTACTAAACCGTACTAAACCACTGTCAACCCCTTTCCAGTGCCCTACCTCATTACAGACCAATTCAGACCGTATTGGTCACCCCGTGCCCTTACAAATCACAACGTTCATCCTACAAAGTCCCATCACCACAAGGGAGAAACACAAACACAAAGACAAACAAAGTTTTGCCCGTATTGAAACGGCTGTACGTCGTATGGACCTGGAAACTCAACTTCCCTGTACAAGTATACGGTAAACCGTATGGGTTGACAGCTATGATGGAGTAAACCACTGCAGTAAACCACTAATAATCCGTACTAAAACATTGTACTAACAGAAAGCCCTCTCGTTGTGGCCAGCAGACCTTGACACTGACCTTCTGAACATGTTCACAAGAACAGAATAGATCTAAATGGTACAATTGTGTTTGTGTACATGTGAGTGGAGCTGATTTGACTTCATGATGGTTGGCAACAGCGGTGTCAAGATCGGCCTCTGTGGAGGAGGCTCGTGAAAGACGCTACTGGGCAGTTGGAGGCAGTCGCCCTCCAGCAACAACAACAACAACAACTTAGGGCAGAGGAGCGACGCTCACAACAACGAGCGGAGTTGCCGGGCACCTAAAGTGCAGCGAGTTGGCACATCTGCCAGTCATCTCAGTCGGTCAACCCATGTAGCACCTGGGTCTGCCCCATGACTTCCTGGCAGCAGTGAGACTTCACGTGGTCTCAAGGTGCACCTAGCCTGCAACAAGCGCTGTGGTGACTTCACCACCGCTTAGTAGCAATCGGCGGTGGCTGCTGGTATATTCCACAGCACGGCTTCTCTCGGCAGGATGACCGTGCCCACTTGCGCCCAGCGTCGTCGCACGCAGTCGCATCGAGACGCTGCATCGACCCACGCGGTGTGTCACTGGTCTCACTCCATTCGGCATAATTCCACCGCTCACGTTTTTCAAAGTATTCATTGCAATCAGCTCTGTCCGTCTGGGGCGAGGGGGGGGGCGAGGGGGGCGGGGGGCACGATATATTTCACCATCCAATGTGAACAAAACTTTCGTACAAAGTGGTGGTGCCATTCGGGACTCATTTAACGCTTCCGAAAAACAAACGTACTTAACAAAACCTGAATCGTAATCGCTCTCCCTTCACCTCTCTCTCCCCTCGCCCCGCCGATGTACACGACGCCCCAGGCGTGAACGCCATTATTGACGCGGGGAGAGTCAAATCTGAGATGCTTGGTCAATGTCTCACGTAAAGTTGTATCACTCACCTCTTTATTTTTGCGTGTGAACGCCCCGAGAAAGCCCCATGCACATAAACGATTGCACTTATCGAGTGCAAATGGCGAATTAATATTAATAATAAGGTCAAGGTGCCGCCCTGAGAGTGCTTGCTCGTGTAAAGGTCTCCACTAGAGGGCAGCTCTCGTGGAGACCTCTGCTCTCTATCTGGAGAACATTTCCCTTGCTACTCTTCCACGCTGGAGTACCCACACTTCACCCCACCACGGGCAACCTGACACTCAGTGAATTGCGGTGACATCATTTACACCGCTGGATGGGCACAGGCCAGGGGGACGATTTGAGAAACTCGCGTGCGTTGTTTCGACCGCCGCGCCGGGACATCGAATCGAACCTGGCGGTGACCTCTGGGTCGCGTCGCTGACCCCTACACCGCCGTGACGTTGCTCGCCGATGCGAGATGACGACGCGGATGGATTTGTGGGTTTTTTGGTTCGCATTTTTGTCAGCATCTTTCCTTTTTTTAACAAAATCTCGCCAGGTGACCTGGGGATTAAACCCGGGAAATTTGAGAGGTGCAGGGGTCAGTGGCCTTGCCCTCGTGGCCAGAGCCACGGTGATTCCACCAGCAGGAGGAGTTCCTCGTGCACACTCCACGCGGCGGTGGCGGCGGGGTGTAAACAACCCGCGGCGGCCTCAACGCAAAGGGGCATTTTGTTATTATTTTGATAAAAGGGCCTCACTGTAAACAAGCTGTACGCATTCGAATGCACAAACACGTCAATAGGCGCACAATTTTCAACTTCAAAAGTTATCGCACGATCTGACCGTTAAAAAACACAATATTTTAAAAACCAGCCTTTAAACAGTCGGCGTCTCCAGCCGTGGGCTGTTGTTTAAAATCAAACCAAATAAAAGTTAAGCCTCTCACAAAACCCGCAACAACAAAACGCCACACAGAGGCAGGTCCAGAGCCCATGGGAGCCGGTCCCAACGCAGAGGGCCTCACGGCCCGGAGCATGCGGTGACGAGCGGGTCACGGGTGACGAGCGGGTCACGGTACCCCCCAGGGTCTCCACGTACCCCCCCCCCCCCACCCAGGGTCTCCACTACCCCCGGTTGAGAACCAATGAGAAGCAGGAGGGGCAACCTTGAGTCCATTGGTTGAGAACCTCCCGCCAGCAGTGGCGTGAGCAGGAAATTGCAGGGCTGCGCCTTTCACCAATTTACCGAGACGTGTAAGGTTGGTGGACGTGAGTGTGCGTGTTCACGTGAGTGTGCGTGTTCATGTGAGTGTGCGTTCACGCGCGCGTGTGAGTGAGTGCGCGTTCACGCGCGCGTGTGAGTGAGTGCGCGTGTGAGTGAGTGCGCGTGTGAGTGCGCGTGCGTGCGTCGTTGACAACTACCTGCGGATTGCACAGTTGGTATCGGCGCGACGGTCCCGTGCATAAGTTATTGGCTCCCAACGCGAGCAGACGCCTGCCAGGAAACAGGGGATCACTTTAAACTTTGACCCAGCACAGGCAGCAAAACAAAAAGCAAAAAAACAAAAAAGCACGTCGGATGGGAACGCGGGCACGCCACACACCCAGGGGGCCGGGGCTGCCACCTTCTCCGCTGTGGAGCAAACCTGAACACGTTTCCCAGCGACCTCTGAGGTCTACAATCGAAACTGTGCAATTGTCCCGTGAGTACATTTGGCAAGATCATTACGTGGCCTAACCCCCCCCCCCCCCCCCCATTAAAAAGAAACTGTGAATTATTGTTCACAAAGCTCAACACAATACAGGTGTAGAGGTGTTACGTACCGGGATGTAGCGAGCCATCGCGTAGCCGGTGTCTACATCACGGTCCGCACATGGGTGGCTACACCGACGTCCGCGCTAGCCCCGCCCCTCGGGGGGCTGAGGGCTATATAAGGCGATGCGCGTGAGCGCTCGGGGAGTCGTTGAAGCCAGTGAAGAATGAAGACGGAGCAAGCCAGATAGGACCCTGGGACCCCTAGCCCCGCTGTCCTTATCAGGGCCGGGACTCTGTGTGGCTCAGTGGTGAGACCCTGGGTACTCACGGCCCGACGCCCTGATCAGAGCCGGGTGTGATGAGCCAGTGGTTGGGACCCGTCCCCTGGCTAGGTCGGGTCAGATAGCCTCCTCTAGGAAGGACATAGCCGGAGGACCTGAGAGCGTAGCTGGTGTCAGGCTCGCGTAGCCGTAGGCTGTGTTCCTAGGCTGTATAGATGACTGTTCTGTAGGGTGTTATAAATAAATACGTGCTGCCTCCGTCAACTCGTCTCCTGCAGTATGTAAGCTGTTGCACAGGTATGAGAATAGGTTTTCCCCTTTTTTCTGGCAACAAAAACAGGTGTTGAGATGTTAAAACGCCAAACTGAAACCTTTTACAAGGAATCATGTCTGCATTAACCACAATACTTCAGAATGCAAAAAAAACGAACTCGGATAATATATGCAATGTCTTTGAAACTGATTGACCCACACCAGAGACAGCTTTCTTTTGAGCCTAGTGTCAAAACGGTGTTAGACCAGAGGACGCCAAAAGGCGTACAGCTCAAAGACAAACATTATTAGAGTAACGAGGGCTCGGGGTGAGCAGCTACATCATGGGACCTTTGCCAGTACCAATATATGATAATAAGGTTTTCCCCTTTTTCTGGCAACACAATACAGGTAGCAGATGTGGGTACAGGTCACGCGAACACAACGCGAGCCCAATTCCCCAGAGTGTGAGCGGGTCGAACTTGTGCGGGTGGCAACCCTAGCCGAACGACAGGACGGGAACACAGTCGAGACGAATCGAAGCGCGCGACGCACAGACGACGACCCGACTGCTCGCTCCGCGCAGCTTTGTTCAGCGAGGATCTCTGAGGGCTGGGCAGGCACGCGGACCAGTGGCTGCTGCGTCCAGCACCGTGCCCATCGTTACCTAGCCAGTGGCGATGCTCGTGATGCCATGGGAATAGGTGATCGTTTTAGGCTGAGTTAACCTAGGGGTGATGCTGCTGTGCTGTAACGGTTAGCACGCTGGGCTGAGGAAGGTGCGTTTAGAGTGTTTTTGAGTATTCGTCTGCGTGATGAGCCACTTCGTTGAGCTGTCATTCGTGTCCAGGTGTCTTCTGATAGCTCAGTGGGCCTTACCTGATGAAAGCAAATGTTGTTCAAGTTTCCTTTGTGTTCTTTAGTGATGTGTTTACCTTTCCTACACTTTCCAACTCCGATCGTGTTGTTGTACTGTTTGTTGTTGTAACGTTCTGACCTGCCCCCACTGGACATCTGTGAAAAAGGGCTTTACAGCTCATCGGATTCCTCCAGTATATAAATATATATTCTATGATTCTGCTGATGCTCATGACGCCATTGAAATAAGTTATCATTTTAGTCTGAGTCAACCTATGGGCTATGCTGTTGTGCTGTGATGGTGAGCACATTGGACTCACAATCCAGATTTGAAGCTTTCGTGACTGCAAGGATTCATATTCGTAGGTTTTTTTCGGTAAAGTTACGTAGATAAATGTTTTTAATTAATAAAAGTAAAATAAAAATAAAATAAAAAATCACGACGATTCGGAGGCAACACAAGCTTCCGTCTTCAGGTGGAACCGTCACAGCACGATAGCTGTATCAAGTAATACAGCTGTCGTGCTGTGACGGTTCCACCTGAAGACGGAAGCTTGTGTTGCCTCCGAAACGTCGTGATTTTTATTTTATTTTACTTTTATTAATTTAATTTTTTACCTACGTGACTTTACCGAAAAAACCTAAGAATATCGTGGAGGGCAGCGACGCTGAAAGTGCCGCTCAAGAGCGTCCCGAGCGGGGGAGCGGTGGCGCAACGGTTAGCGCGCTACGCTGCCCTGCGGTGACCCGGCGGCCCGAGTTCGATTACCCGCTCACGGCCACCAACACTAAGTGACGATTATCTGAACCGGTTTCTGGGCCTCCCCTAGGTCGACTCAGCCTCAAACGAGTACCTGGTGCGGTGTGTAAACATCGCCACTGGGGAGACAAAGGCGGCCGGGCGTAGTGGTGGCCAACCCACTCGCCCCAACAGTCTGTTGAGGCTTCTTTGTGTCGTTCCCCACAACTCCGATGAGCACGGTTGGCAACGTAAGGTGCGAAAGAAGTTCACCATCGGCACGTGTATTACATACGGGAGGATCTTTGTCTTTGTTTGGGGTCTCGTTAGCCAAGCCCCCCGCCCCCCGCCCCCCGCCCCCCCCCAGGGCTGCAGGGGTTTCCGTAACCCCACGGCACGCACAGCGACTCGAGCTGGTGGGTGCGTACGCACGCAGTTGGGACGCGCGTCCCCGTGAGCGCACAGCCGCGTTCACTGCGGCGGCTGACGAGTGAGCTGGTCGTGAGCACGTGCAGACGCACGCGCGTTGGCCGCGTGACGTCACGCGCGCTGACCGCGTGACATTGCGCCCGATGCGTATTGAGGGGATGACAACGAAACATCTTCGTGCAGCGTCACGGTTTTTTTGTGTCGGTGCGCACAGAGTGACGCAACTGCATGGAGCGGTGGTGCAGTGGTTAGCGCACTGCGCTCTGGACCCAGCAACCTGGCCTGGTTAACTCGAGATGTTAACTCCTTCGCCTGGTCTACAGGAGGTCGTGAGTTACGATCCCGACCCTGTCGCCTGCTGCTGCTGTATATTTGGAGTTTGCGTGTCTCCTCTCTCCCCGTGGCCACGTAGATTTTTCTTTGGATCCTCCGGTTTTCCCTTCAAATTTTAAATCAAACGTCACGTGTTTAGAGCATTTGGCCGCTATACATTACCACGTGACAAGCCACTTCGTTACCACGTGATAAACCACTTAATCAAGCTACCATTTGTGATGGCCAGGTGGCTTCTGGTAAAGAGCTACATGGTTCGGTGGACCTTACCTGGTGAAATAGAATTTAGTTACGTTTTTTAGTTTAGCGCAGTTGGCTCCGTACGTTGCAACAGAAGTTCAACGTCCATGCACGCGACGTCGTGCTTACTATCGTGAAGGACACAGGTAACGCTTCACATCCCCGCCTGGTGACCTTGAACGGGGAGCGCGTTATTACAGACACGCCAAGAGGCCGAGTTCGTCACACAGCAGTCGTCGTTGTGTTACCGCACGGGGGCAATGTGTAGACTACGCCCAAATCTGACAAGGCGATGTTTTGACTGTCACGAACATCGGCCCGCGGTTGTTTGTCGGGGAGATGCGAGTCGCGATGTCGATGAAACACGAAACCCCCCTCGCCGCCGCCGCCGCCGCTCCTCGTGATCTCAGTGCAGAGTTTTGATTGCGAGGCTTCGATCGCTCGATTGCGTCCCCTGGATTGCGCGCCCGAGAGCGTGCACGTTTCACGAGGAGGAATGCCCAAAATCGCACGGCGCGCGCGCAAAAGGTAAAAAAAGATCCCCGATGTCGTAGCCTCATTTACGCGGTTGAAGCGAGCGCAGTCAGGGCTGCCACCTTTCCCACCCCGAGGGGACGAGACCCAGACGCGTTTCGCGGTCGGCACTTTGCCTGCCGAGCCAAAGCCGAGCGGCTTACGACCGCGGAGTTCAACAGAGCCACAGGGGTGGCCAGACCTCGGCACGAAACCAAATGCCTGCCGCCCGGCGCGCCGACGCCAATTTTCTGGGCTGTACCGGGGCTCAAGCACGGAAAGGTGACGACCCCAAAGGGCAGTTGGCGAGCACCTATTAGGCTCAGCAATAGAGCACGTGGGGAAACGGTGTGGCCAGGAGCACACCACCGGCCCTCCCCGTTGCCGGTGTTCACGTACTTTAGAGCAGGCAGTCGCGGGTTCACCAGGCACTCAGCCCAACTGAGGAGCAGGATGGGTTCAGATGCCACGTGCCACTGACGTTATCCATGGGCAGGAATCGAACACCCATCACCACGACCGCAGTCATTTCAACTGCGAGTGCGCAGTCGTCGCTCCAGAGGCAGAACAACTCGGAGGTGCGAGGAGGAACCACGGACAAGCAGGAAAGGCAGTCGCCAGGCAGTGAGCCGGCACCACCAAGCTCCACGGTCCTCTACGTATTGAGATGTTCTCAGCCAATCAGTGAGTGTTTATATGTGGGAGGAAGCACCCGGAGCGGTGGCGCAGTGGTTAGCGCTACGCTGCGCGACGAGCCCGGCCACCCGAGTTCGATTCCCGCTCACGGCCAACACCGGTGACGATTGTCTGAACCGGTCCTGGGCCTCCCGTAGGTCGACTCAGCCTCAAATGAGTACCCGGCGTGGTGTGTAAACATCGCCACTCGGGAGACAAAGGCGGTCGGGCGTGGTGCTGGCCACCCACCCCCTCGTGTGCCGTGCCGGCCTTCATAGGTGCTCGCTAGCAGCACTTGCCCCCACAGCCTGTTAACGCCGTACGGGGGATTTTTTGTCTTTTTTGTGTTGATGATGGCAATAAACGAATGCAATGATTATAAAATACACTGCGTGAAGCTGATCACAAGCAAGTGCGAGACGTAAGTTGGCGGAGTGATATTCAAGCCCGACAGAACTTCTCTACAAAGAAGGTTTCAATAGACTCTGCACTGGTCCTTGAATGGAATCAACAATGAATCTGACGAAGAAAAACACCACTTTGCCTTTGTATTCCTCCATGAACCTCACATGCACTTTTAAATCTAGATTAAAATCTCATTTCTTTAGAACTGCTTTCAGTGTTTAGTTTGTTGTCCTTCCCCCCGCACCTCCGATTAGCGCGGTTGGCTACGTACGGTGCGAAAGAAGTTCAAGGTCTGTCTGTACGTATACACTTCTTTAGCGCCGTTACGGAGCCAACCGTAGGTCGACTCAGCCTCAAATGAGTACCCGGCGTGGTGTGTAAACATCGCCACTCGGGAGACAAAGGCGGTCGGGCGTGGTGCTGGCCACCCACCCCCTCGTGTGCCGTGCCGGCCTTCATAGGTGCTCGCTAGCAGCACTTGCCCCCACAGCCTGTTAACGCCGTACGGGGGATTTTTTGTCTTTTTTGTGTTGATGATGGCAATAAACGAATGCAATGATTATAAAATACACTGCGTGAAGCTGATCACAAGCAAGTGCGAGACGTAAGTTGGCGGAGTGATATTCAAGCCCGACAGAACTTCTCTACAAAGAAGGTTTCAATAGACTCTGCACTGGTCCTTGAATGGAATCAACAATGAATCTGACGAAGAAAAACACCACTTTGCCTTTGTATTCCTCCATGAACCTCACATGCACTTTTAAATCTAGATTAAAATCTCATTTCTTTAGAACTGCTTTCAGTGTTTAGTTTGTTGTCCTTCCCCCCGCACCTCCGATTAGCGCGGTTGGCTACGTACGGTGCGAAAGAAGTTCAAGGTCTGTCTGTACGTATACACTTCTTTAGCGCCGTTACGGAGCCAACCGTGCGAATCGGTGGTGCGGGGGGAGGACAAGAAACGTGCATCAAGAGGATGGAGGAGGGAGAGAAATACGTACGAACGCACAGCATCGGTGTCTGAAAATCTCGTTCCGAAAATCGATGTTGCTCACACACGTGTATAAATAAGCAGCCCGTCCTAGTAAAGGACTCAAAGCACACGAAGGCATCTCTATCTTAGCCCAGCCGACACCTTTAAAGCGTTGTGCTCGCGCGGTACCGCTCACAGACTGTAATGTAACATTCAAACATTGAAATAAAATGTAGTTAGAGCCCTTGCTATTTTATTAGTCTGTCCACCAAATATGCAGGAACTGGTCATTAAGTATTGGCTGTTGAATTCCCTCAAGAAGTTATTTTTCTTCCATACTTCAGGCACGTACGTGTGTGTGTGTAAGTGTGTACGTGTGTGTGTGTAAGTGTGTACGTGTGTGTGTAAGTGTGTGTGTAAGTGTGTAAGTGTGTGTGTGTAAGTGTGTGTGTGTGGGTGTAAGTGTGTACGTGCGTGCGTGTAAGTGTGTAAGTGTGTACGTGTGTGTGTACGTGTGTGTGTGTAAGTGTACGTGTGTGTGTAAGTGTGTACGTGTGTACGTGTGTGTAAGTGTGTAAATGTGTACGTGTGTAAATGTGTAAATGTGTAATTGTGTACGTGTGTGTGTGCAAGTGTGTGTGTGTACTGTGTGTGTGTAAGTGTGTACGTGTGTGTGTGTAAGTGTGTGTGTACGTGTGTACGTGTGTGTGTGTACATGTGTGTGTGTAAGTGTGTACGTGTGTGTGTGTAAGTGTGTAAATGTGTACGTGTGTAAATGTGTAAGTGTGTACGTGAGTGTTCATTGCTGTGTGGGAGCGGCAGTGTAGCGGTTAACGTGCCGCGCTACGAACTCGGCAACTGGAGTTCGATTCCCACTCACGGCCAACACGCACGTGATGATTGTCTGAAATGATCCTGGGCGTCAAATGAGCACCTGGTGCTGTGTGTAATCATCGGCACTGGGGAGACAAAGGCGGCCAGGCGTGGTGCTGACTACCCCCCCACCCCGATTCTCCGCGTGCCGTACCGGCCTTAATAGGTGCTGCTTGAGAACAGCACTTGCCCCAAGAGCCTGCTAAGTCTACACGGGGGATCTTTGTCTTGTGTGTATTTATCAGCCTCAATAAGCAAGTGTGTGCTTTGGCAAGACCTGCCCGTGTGCGTGTAAGTGCGTTGTTTATTGTTGTGCTGGGCAGAACTGGGTCCACCAAAGACTCAACCGGCAATCATTTATGGAACTTTCTGCACGACTTTTAAAAAGCAGGCGAGTGTGTGTGTGTCGGTTATTTAGAGCCGAGGACATTTGGCTGGGGCAGTGGCACACGATGGCCTGGTCGTATACAACGGCAGTGTTCTGTGCAAGTGCAAACTAATTACTCAAGCTTGCCAACATTGGCGGTGTTTAAAAATAAAACATCCGCAATGTTTTATTTCCATTCGCACTACTGGATACACATCACATCTCGCCACGGTGGCGAGATGTGTATTACCTTGCCTGCTATACAGGGAGTCGTGGGTTCGATCCCGACCTTGATGCAGGTATATTTGGAGTTTGCGGTGTCTCTCTACCACATTTAGAAACAACATCAATGTCCACGTGATGAAAAGCCGCTTCGTTGAGCTATCATTTGTGTTAGCCCAGGTAGCTTCTTAAAAAAATAACTGAACAGCTCAATCTGGGCCTTACGTGGTCAAAAAATCATGTTTTCGTTCGATAGTTGTAGTTATTTACCCTCCGCCAAGTCGCTGCTGCAGGCAGTGGCGCTCCTGGGACATGACGCCTCCTCCGCAGGTGCGCGAGCAGCCCACCCACGTGCTCCACTCGCCCCACCACTGCGCCATCGCCTCCAGCTGTGTCCTCGACGGAGAGCTGTCGTCTCCCTCCTGCCGGAACGAGGACGCACCTCCGGTTAGAGCGCTTGGCTACGGACGGTGCGAAAAACAAGTTCAACGTACACACACGCACACACACGCGTACGTACTGGAATTGGGCAGCGGCCGAATAGCCGAAGAGTGATCCATGCTTTGCCAACACCGGATAACCGGACAACGGATAACCGGACCACAGATAACCGGACCACTGCTGTATTTGCAAAATTGTGCCATAATTAATAATGATCACTGTCATCAGAATCACCGTCATCAAAATTAGCAGCAGCACAGACGAACTTTTGTTATTTTCCGTAAATAGCAGGGAAGTTGATATCACAGAGCTACCTCTGAGATCCATTCAAGTGACCCATCATCATCATCAACAGCAACAGCAGCAACATTTTCATTTCGCCATCACCGTCGTCATCATCATCATCATCAATGTCGTCATCATCAGCAGTAACCCGTGGGAGCAGACACAGCAGAGGCATTTCTAACTTCGTCGTCATCATCATAATCAGCGGCAGTGACGTGGCACAGTGGTGGTGTGATCGCCGCCTGTTGCAGAGGATCGCGTTCTGAATCTGGTGGAGAACCCTGGTTATTAATAAAACACGCGCCTGCTCCACAAAGTGGACTTGTAGATCCCAAAAATGTACCAAATTTGAAAAAAAATAACACTGTAAATTACGACACGCGGCAACTATCCCCCCACCTACTGGCAGACTAATCCCCACTTTGCTGGCGAGGCTCTCGGTCACCCTGCGCCACCCAGGGACAGCTGCCACTGGGGGTGCCCCTACGAGCGGCGCTGTGGACCGTCGCGGGCGACAGCGCCCAGAGTCGTCCAGGCGGAGTGAACGGGCGGGCGCCACCAAGAACGAATCGACGCTCACCGTCAATGTGGAACACGATAACACATTTCGTCGTTATGGTGAATGGTGGTCGCGATGAGGCACCGACCGGCAGTTTGTGTCCTCCGAGCCCGTCGGCGTGAGCCCCGTGCAGCAGGAGGCCCAGGAGGAGGAGGAGGACTCCGGAGCCGGTGAGAAGCCCCATGCCGGATTCTAGCAGCAGCAGCAGCAAAAGGGACAAACGTTCCTCATGAAGCCTCCATGTGGCACATCACACGGCACGTACGTTGAACTTCTATCGCACCGTACGTGCTAATCGCAGGTCCGGGGGACGGTCAACAGACTGAATACAAGAATCTAAAGAAATGAGTTTGTCAACCTAGATGATGACGATTTAAACATGCACAGCTCCAGTGGCTGCCTAATATCGGAAGGGAAGAGCTTTCCAGACGGCCGCACAAGCGCATCTGAAAGCGCCGCGCGATGCAGTGACCGCCGTCTTTGTGCGATGGCAGCAGCCAAAGAGCCCCTTTTGCGAGGATGTCCGCAGGAAGAGTTCGCGTGATGATGGTTCGTGCTCCTTGACGGGATCTGCGACGTGTCGCGGTTCATCTGCGGCGAGCACTTCGTGTGCGTAACGAGCGCGACCTCATCACAACGAATCCGTTCGGCGAGGACCAAAGAAATAGACAAAGATCCACCGTGTAGCCTTGAGCAGACTGCGGGGGCAAGTGCCGTTAGCGTCACACACTCGCCAATTCAACCCGGCGCGGCACACAACGGGGGTAGGTGGCCAGCACCGTGCCGGGTCACCCGTGGTGTCTGTCAACGCCGACGTTGACACACCGCACCAGGTACTTATTTATGGCCGAGTCGACCAAGGGGAGACCCCAGGACCGGTTCACGTTTCGCAAGCGTAGAGAAGGGAGGGAATGACTGTGGCCGAGAAGACCTGAAGCTTCGTGCGGAGCGACAGACCAGGTAGCTTCCACACAGCGTCACGCAACCGATGAAAAGATATTGCCGGTCGACTGATTCGGAGTGAGACCTCTGCTGTTAAACCGGAGCCGTTCATGAGCACACTGCCCAGGTATGGGAAACTCTCCACTCTCTCCACAACTGCCCCACCACCGATTGGGAGAGGTGTCTTTGTGTGTATGTAGAACACACACACACAAAGACACAACCATATATGTAAACTGACACATTGGAACGCACACACAAAGACACAAAGTGATGGTGAGTGGGGGGGGGGATGGTGAGTGGGAGGGGTGAGTGGGGGGGGGGAATCTGCCAAAAGACAAAGCTACCCCGTAGAGCCCTTAAGAGGCTGTTGGGGCAAATTCTGCTAGCGAGGAACCTACCTACTCCGTCAAACACACTAACAACAACAGACTAACAACAACATCACACTAACAACAACACACTAACAACAACAACAGACTAACAACAACACACGGACGCGCAGTGACAAGCGGGACATTAATAATAATACTACAATAAACAATTGGTAAACATTTCAAACTTACGACAGAGACGGGTGGGTGGGTTATCCCCCAGTTACGGGATGGGACCAGCTGCAGCAGTAAGTAGCACCACCACCACCACCAGTAGCACCACCAGCAACCACCAGCAGCACCACCACCACCAGTAGCACCACCACCACCACCAGTAGCACCACCACCACCACCAGTAGCACCACCAGCAGCACCACCACCACTACCAGCAGCAGCAGCACCACCAGCACCACCACCACCACCAGCACCACCACCAGTACCACCAGCAGCACCACCAGCACCACCACCACCAGCAGCAGCACCACCAGCAGCACCACTACTACCAGCAGCAGCAGCACCACCAGGAGCACCACCAGCACCACCAGCACCACCACCACCACCACCAGCGGCTCACTGGGGTTATGAACAAGACGACGCCGACAGCGGCAGCAGCGGCAGCAGCAGCTCCATGCAGCATCACCAGCAGCACCAGCAGCAGCGGCTCCACGCAGCCTCAGCGAGCGCCGCCGCTGAGCCGCGCGTGTGCCTCGTGTCGGCGCAGCGTGCCCAGTGACGACGCCGCACGGCAGCTGATCAGCGGCGTGCGTCACGTGGAAGAGCGGGCGGGGGGGGGGTGAAGTTCAGCTTCGAGGAGGGGTGGAGAGAGAGAGGAGAGAGGGGGGGGGGGAGTAAAACAAAGTACAAAGACAAAGATCCCCCGTACAGCCTTCACAGGTTGTTGGGGGGAAGCGCTGTCAGTGAGCAGCACCTCTGAAGACCGCGGCGGCACACAGAGGGCCGGGTGGCTGCATCAGCACGCGCGGACGTCTTTGTCTCCCTAAGCAGCGATGTTTACACAGCCGGGGCCGGTTCAGTGAATCGTCGCCGGTGTTGGCCGTGAGAGGGAATTGAACTCGGGTGGCCGGGTTCGTAGTGCAACGCGCTAACCGCTACGCCACCGCTCCCCCCACAGTTGAGATTGCAGGGAGTGAGAGAGTAGAATCATCAAATTTCTTGCACGCCACTGCCACTCTTGCTCACACACTCAATCACTCACACACACACTCACACGCTCACTCACACACTCACTCACACGCTCACTCACTCACTCACACGCTCACTCACACACGCACTCACACACTCACTCACACACTCACTCACGCACTCACACACGCACTCACACGCTCACTTACACACTCACTCACACACACATGCACTCACGCGCACACACACACTCACACGCTCACTCACACGCTCACTCACACACACACTCACACGCTCACTCACACACACACTCACACACTCACTCACACACACACATGCACTCACACACTCACACACATACACACACACTCACACACACTCACATACTCACACATACACACACACATACACTCACACACACACTCACACACGCACACTCACACACGCACACTCACACACTCACACACGCGCGCGCTCCAACGAAGTTGGCGTGAGCCGTCGGCGTCACGCACACGGAGTTGTTGTGTTGGAGCAGCTCTCCGCCGCTCGAGAGGGTCGCGCGCGTCTGGCCAAGCAAGTCGCTGGCAAAGCGGGCCAGCTCTTACATAAGTCGCCTTTCAAAGAAAAAAAACATCCACGCCGCTCACAGTTCCCGTTCAACTCTCTCGCGATTGTCCTCCGTGCGGGAGAATGTTTGACGTGACGAGCGGTGACGAGATTCACCGGAGCAGGAGCGGTGGCGTCTTCTCGCTGTGCGCGGTGGTGTTGGCTGGTGACCGTGAGCGGCAATCGAACTGGGCTGGCGCGGGTTCTTAGCGCGGCGCACAAACACCACTGCGCCACCGCTGCGCCACCGCTCCCAATTCGCGCTCGCCGCGTCGCGCGGCGCTTTCAGATGCGCCGTTTCTGCGGCCGTCTGGAACGCTCTTCCCTTCCGATATTAGGAAGCCGCTGGAGATTCAAAACTCATTTCTTGACAACCGCTTTTTGTGTTTGGCTTGTTGTCCATGCCCCGCACCCTGGTCGGCTACGTACGGCGCGAAAGAAGTTCAACGTAACTCTTTTTACCCTACAGCGTGGTAGTTAACGCGGTAGTTGCATTCCTGAAGAACATCGCATGATGGAGAGATCGCGTTGTAATAAATGGAATATGCTAAAGCACAATCGGCGATAGCGCGCGGGATGCGTACGCAGGTCACGTGGGTAGCATCAAGAAGTATCCAGCAGCATCCCAGTGCCTCGTGCGGTGACGCTACGCCGCGGGGGGGGGGGCGGGGGGTGGGGGGTGCCGGGGGGTGGGGGGGTGGGGGGCGGGGGGTGTTACTTCTCTCACCCACACGGCCACTCGTGTCGTGGCTAAACAATGGATTACGCGGCACCTGTGGGCCTTGGGGGGCCAGGGGGGGGCTACGTCCACACGGAGTCACGTGAGACACCTCATTGCTTACTGCCAACACGGAACGCGCTCGCTCGCTCACAGAGCCTCCCTTTCAGACGACCGCTGGAGCAAGCGTCGTTAGCGAGCACCTCTAGACGGAGCCACTCCCGAGTGGCGGCGCCAGGCACCCACTAAGGGCCGCCTTTGTCTCCATTTCTTGTTGTTGTTGTTGTCGCCGATGTTAAATACAGCGCCAGGCACTGTGCCCTCGTTCGCGCCGCGCCAGCCTCGGGCAGCGCCAAGTGAGAGATTCGGTGGCCAGGCAATCGCCTGCTGCAGGTGAGAGTCGGCGTCGCGCCTTGGGCTGCAGCGCTCTCGGGAAGCCGTCCCACGACACGGTGCGCGACCACGCACCTGGCCCACCTGAGTTGGACTCCTGGCCAAGGGTAACACCGGACGTCGTGAGTGGTGCTCAGAGGTAGAAACATCGGGCTCCTGCGACCCACCACGTCACCAGCCCGCGTTAACAGCGGTTGTCCAATGGAAAATCACAAGCGTGTCAAAGTTCACCAATGGCTCAGGGCTTGTAAATGGGAGATGAGTCCTGCCAGAATTTGACCGTGTAAATATCAGCACTGGGAGACAAAGGCAGCCTTTGGCTTGCTGGCCTCAAAAGGTTAAGAGTGCGCGTGGCAAAATGTTAACTACCTCGCCTGGCATACAGGAGTGTGTGGGTTCGATCCCGACCCTGACGATGTGTGCTGTATATTTGGAGTTTGCAAGCCTCGCTCTCCCCGTGTGCGCGTTGATTTTTCTCAGGATCCTGCGGTTTTCCCCTCCACGTTTAGAACCAACGTCACGCGTTTAGAGTCTTTGACTGCCACGAATGTCCACGTGACAAGCCACTTCGTTTGTGATGGCCAGGCCGCTTCTGAAAGAGAACTCAGTGGGGCCTTACTCGGTAAAATAAAACAAAGTTTAGTTTAATAATGAATTGCTAACAGAATATACGGGGGATCTTTGTCTTCGTTATTTTGTGAGCGAGTGCCTGTGTGTGTGTAAAGTGCACGTGTGTGTGTGCAGGGAGTCTTGGTACGGCGGTAAGCTTTCTGAACTTTGAACTTAACCACCTGAGTTTGAATCTTGGCCATGGCTAACATCAGTGGCGAGTGGAATGTGACATAATTCTGAGCTGACTCGGCCTCAAATGGGTAGCTGGTGCCGTGTGTAAACATCGGCACTGGGGAGACTAAGGCGGTCGGGCGTGATTGGTAGTTATCCCACCCCTTCGTGCGCCTTACCGGCCTTAATAGGTGCTCGCTAACAGCACTTGCCCCAACAGTCTGTTAAGGCTATACGGGGGATATTTGTCTTTGTGTGTGTGTGTGTCTTTATGTATGTGCTTTTTAAAATATTATTTGACTGCACAGCTTGGGACGCCTTTCATCACTGTCCTGAGGGAATTTCCATCTGGTACAAATGCAATGGAAGGTTGATCGATGCCCGGGTGCTGTCAAAAGATGCATCTATACTGGCCAATCATGTATGTTGATGATCTGCTAATTGCTTCTCACTGAGAACTAGTTGGAGACTCGACTGCTGAACCTGGAGCATGCTACTAAATGGGGCCTTACCATCAGCCCCGCAATAAATAAAGCACCTGCCTGGGTGTTTTATGTCTTCTTTGATGTTAACTCCCTCGCCTGGTATGCAGGAGGTCGTGTGTTTGATCCCGACCCTGACGCCTGCTGCTGTATATCTGGAGTTTACGTGTCTCTCTCCCTGTGGTCGCGTGGATTTCCCCCCGGGTGTGTTTGATCCTGCTGCTGTATATTTGCAGTTTGCGTGTCTCTCGCTCTCTCCCCGTGGTCACGTGGATTTTGTTCCGGGTTCTCCGGGTTTTCCCTCCACATTTAGAAACGTGCGTTTAGAGTATGTGGCCGCTATAAATGTCCACGCGATAAGCCACTTCGTTGAGCTATCATTTGCGGCCAGGTCGCTTCTGAAAAAGAGCTACATAGCTCAGTGGGCCTTACCTGGTAAAATAAAAATAGTTTTAGTTTTAGTCATCAAATACTTCACCCCCTCGCCTCTCCATGGAGTGGCAGTTGTGGAGCGAGTGACATTTTAATGCCAGGGCAGTGCGGTTATAACCATTTCTGATTTGGTAGCAGAGGTCTGACTCCAAGTCAGTCGAGCGGAATAATCTTTTCATCAGTTTGACACGTAGGCTTTCGTGACCAATATTATTCACGATATAAGTTTTGGGGTTGGATCGTGTAAATATAAATGAGTAGTTAAACAAGTGACGACGTCACATTTCTCCCTCCATTTAAATACAGATTGGAACAGGAGGAGGATTTTTCACCAACTCTGGCTGTCGCCTGATGAAGCTGGTTGTAATTACCGGCGAAACGTCAGGGTACTAGAATAATAAATGTTGTTGTGGGTTTACTCTCCAACACACCAGTGTGCTGTACTAGTCACAAATTGCAATGTTCTGTTTACGTAACAAACCTTACTATTTGGTGGCAGGTTTAACGACACATTTATATTTACACAATCTAACCCGAAAACCTCTATAATGGATCTATTCATCAGCTGCGTAACCCTGCTGTGTGGAACTACCTGGCCCATCGCTCCACAGGCAGCTCCCTGTTCTTCTCGGCCACAGTTACGCCATCCCTTATCTTGTGAAGGAACATCTGCACCAGCTTAAAACATTCAGGCTGGCCTGCCTATGACCCATCCTGGGTTTAACCAAGTTGGAGTGTGTGAGGAGCTCACAGATTCTCGACAGATCTGGACACAGTCCCATCAATGAGCTCCTCCGGCAGGCGAGGCTGCACTGGCTGGGTCACGTAGCCCGCATGCCCAGCTGCCGCACGCCCAAGCAGCTTCTGTTTGGCCGCAACGAGTGCCATTCACGGGCGCGGCACGGCCCGGGGGAGAGATGGAGAAATGTGGTATAGGAGGACGTGGAGCTGACGGGACTTGCCAATGACTGGTAGCGGCGGTGTCAAAATCGGCCTCTACGGAGGAGGGTGGAGGAGCGAAGCTCACAACAAATGAGTGGAGCGCCGGGTGGATAAAATACAGCCTTGCTGATGGGATCCTGTCATTGGGGGGGTGGGGGGGGGGTCATTTGACCCTGCTGATGAGAGCGGATGTGCGAAGGTGGGACACACATAGAGACACGGGCACATACAAGTACAGTACAACAACTGATTTTGCCGTCGGTTTTCCACAACGCGGCCCCTGGTCATGACCCAAACAAACTGGTGATGCCATCTAACCACCACCACCTGCACCACCAGCACCACCACCAGCACCACCACCAGCGCCTCCACCAGCACCACCACCGGCACCACCACTGCCACCACTACCACCGCCACCAGCACCACCACCAGTACCACCACCATCAGCACCAGCACCGCCACTCCAGTGGCAGCTGTCCTTGTGTGGCACCACGCATCGGTCTGCCATACCGGTTGGCCAACGTTCACCGCTGTACGCAATCACAATCCACTACATCTTCGCTGCGTATATATATTTTTTTCGAAATTGGCAAATGTCTAACTATGATTCCGGCACGCAAGGGCCTACTGATGACGTTAGGGGCTCTTCGATGTCCACCGTACTATCATTACGTAATAAATGAGTGTAATTATGCTTAATGCACACACACACACATCAGGGATAACCAGGACGGCCCGGCGGGTTTGAACCACGAACCTCTGCAAGAAGCTGCGAGCCACGACCCCAACGCGGCGCCTCGTGCAGCGCCCCGGCACCTCCGAGCGGCCGGCCGAGTGCGAGGCGAGAGCGGTGGCGGCGGGGGGGGGGGGGGCGACGTCGTGGTGCCTGCGGGGGGGCTGGGGGGGGGGCTGGGGGGCGAGTGGCGAGATGGGCCGAGGCCGCCGATGCCGCGTCGCGTGCAGTCACCTCGCTCGCAGTCACCTCGCTCGGCCAGCCGAGTCACATCTGGTCTGCATCTTCACAACGAGTTCAAAACACACACACACACAAAGATAAAGATCCCCCGTATAGCCTTAACAGACTGTGGGGGAAAGTGCTGTTAGTGAGCACCTATGAAGGCCGGAACGGCAAACGAGGGGGTGGGTGGCCAGCACCACGCCCAGCTGCCTTGGTCTCCCTGGTCGCAATGTTTACACATCGAACCCCGGTACTCATTTGAGGCTGAGTCGACCTAGGAGAGGCCCGGGACTGGGTTCCGACAATCGTCGCTGGTGTTGGCCATAAGCCGAAATCGATCTCGGGACGCCGAGTTCCTACATTGCTGTGCGCTACCACTACACTGCCGCTTCCCATACAGATACACACACATGCAACAACAAACAAAGACACAGATCCCCGTATAGCCTTAACAGACTGTAGGGGCAAGTGCTGTTAGCGATCACCTATGAAGGCCAGCACGGCACACGAGGGGTGGGTGGCCAGCACCACGCCCGACCGCCTTTGTTTCCCTAGTGGTGATGTTTACACACCTCACCAGGTACTCATTTGAGGCTGAGTCGACCTAGGGGAGGCCCAGGACCGGTTCAGATAATCGTCACTGGTGTTGGCCGTGAGCGGGAATCGAACTCGGGTCGCCGGGTTCATAGCGCAGCGCTAACCACTACACTACCGCTCCCCACAGGCGCATGGACACGTGAACCGGTAACCGCTGCATAGCGATCGGGACAACGACGTCGAGTTGTAGCGGGTCACCATCGCGGAGAAATTCGCTCACTCTCGAAGAGCGACGCGAAGGGCATCAGCGACGTGGCCAGCCGCCGCCACCCCACCCACCACCCCAAGCTCTGTGGTCCTCTCTTGATTAAGGTGTTTTCGGCCAATTGATGACTGTTTATCTCCGTCCATTTGTGTGCTTGAATCTCATGGAACAAACAAACTAGAGGCTCCATTATTAGACTGGCTTGACAGTTTGTCGAACAGAAATTGGCCTTTTCCCAAATGCAGATTGCTTGTGTTGCGATCGAAACGTCGTGATTTGTTTGATTTTATTTCTAGCTACGTGACTTTACCGAAAGAACAAAAGAGTAATATCAGAATTGCCAAGCCTATGGACATGAGCGGTAGGCTGTCGGCTTTTAAATTTAAAGCGTATTCACGGCACCCTGATTTTCAGAACCAAACCGCACCGCTTCGTGAGATGTTCCAAACTATTTGGTGACGCTGCGTTGGCAGAGTTGCACGAGCACAAGAGGCCGGAGGGGCACGATAAGTCCCCGTTCAATTTGCAAAAATGTTAAACCGCTGATTGGTAAAAGCACGTGCTTTGGGCTCGTTACACAACTGAAGAACTGACCCCAATCGACTGTACGATAGCATCGCGACCACCGCTACCGTCGAGCTGTACGGAAGAAAGAAAGAAAGTGGATAAAAAGGCGCACGAGCGGTTGAAATCTCACCACCCCCCCACCTCCTCCTCCTCCTAGAATAACGAAGTGCGCGCGTGTGTGCCGCGGCGTGAATGACGATCGCCGCCGCGTTGGAGTGTAAACAGTGGGGAGCGCGCCAGTTCGTGACCAGCGTACCGACGATGACCTCCACTGACCCACGGCCGCTGTCTCAGCCGCAGCAGGTCGGGATTCGTCTCCGCATTCACCCGCCTTGCTGTTTGACGCCCCGAATTGGGTGGACGCCTTCAACCCACGAAGAGAAACGGAATGCGTCGCCTGGTCTACAGGAGGTCGTGGGTTCGATCCTGACCCTGACGCCTGCTGCTGTATATTTGTAGTTTGCGTTTTTCTCTCTCTCATCATCATCACGGTGGCTAGGAGATGTTAACTACCTCGCCTGGTATACAGGAGGTCGTGGGTTCGATCCTGACCCTGACACCTGCTGTATATTTGTAGCTTGCGTGTTTCTCTTTCTCATCATCATCACGGTGGCTAGGATATGTTAACTACCTCGCCTGGTATACAGGTGGTCGTGGGTGCGATCCAGACCCTGACGCCTGCTGCTGTATATTTGGAGTTTGCGGTGTCCGTCTCCCCCGTGGTCGTGCGGATTTTTCTCCGGGTCCTCCGGTTTTCCCCTCCACGTTTAGAATCAACATCACGCGTTCAGGGTATTTGGCTGCTATACATTCCCACGTGATAAGCCACCTCGGAAAACCTATTCTCATATGTTGGTACTGGCAAAGGAGGTCCCATGATGGAGATAATCCACCTCGCTGGGCTACAGTTCACCGGGGCCTGAGCTGGTAAAGCAACCGCGGACTACGGGAGCTGAGGGGGGTTGAGACCGGAGCACACGTGGATGCATAGCAGGTGGTATAGGCTGCGCAGCTTAACGCTGTAAATCCATGCTCCCACGCGTCTGCTCCCCGCCCTTCACAGCCTCATAGTGACCAGCTCGGTGAAGTATGGTCAAGTAACCCCTCCCTCCCCCCACCCACCCACGTGGCAGTCACAGATCCACTCCCCCACCCGTGGCCAGTCGCCTGCGATGATTGCTGTGAAATTCACTTCATGTTGGTCTACCAGGCTGGACTGTTTGGTCTCGTCCTTACTGTGTTAAACCACCACACTGCAGCCCACAACAACCCTCACTCACCACACTCCAGGCCACAACAACCCTCACCCACCACACTCCAGGCCACAACAACCCTCACCCACCACACTCCAGGCCACAACAACCCTCACCCACCACACTGCAGGCCACAACATCCCTCACCCACCACACTGCAGGCCACAACATCCCTCACCCACCACACTGCAGGCCACAACAACCCTCACCCACCACACAGCAGGCCACAACAACCCCCACTCACCACACAGCAGGCCACAACAACCCTCACCCACCACACTCCAGGCCACAACAACCCTCACCCACCACACTCCAGGCCACAACAACCCTCACCCACCACACTCCAGGCCACAACAACCCTCACCCACCACACCTCAGGCCACAACAACCCTCACCCACCACACAGCAGGCCACAACAACCCCCACTCACCACACTCCAGGCCACAACACTCACTCACCACACCGCAGGCCACAACAACCCTCACCCACCACACAGCAGGCCACAACAACCCCCACTCACCACACTCCAGGCCACAACACTCACTCACCACACCGCAGGCCACAACTGCTATTATTCTGCAGCTTGGGAATTCCCTCTCGCCGCCGTCTCTTTGCTCCCAAGCTCTGACCATAAACCTGTCAACTGCCACCTATTACGTTGTGCTGTCTGTTGCTGGCCGCTGGACGTTTTGCCACTGTTTCCGCATGGTGAACTTCTTTTGCACCGTACGTAGCCAACCGTGTTTACAGCACACAGTCACTGTGCTCGAAGCAATGCCACGGGGAGGCTTTCACGCAACTCCCGATGAGCACGGTTGGCGACGTACGGTGAGAAATAAATTCAAAGACAAAGATCCCCCGTGTAGCCTCAACAGACTGTTGGGGCAAGTGCTGTTAGCGAGCGCCTATTAAGGCCGGAACGGCAGCACCACGCCCGGCCGCCTTTGTCTCCCTAGTACCGATGTTTTTACGCACCGCACCAGGTACTCATTTGAGGCTGAGTCGACCTAGGAGAGGCCCAGGACCGGTGCAGATAATCGTCACTGAGTGTTGTCCGTGAGTGGGAATCGAACTCGGCTCGTCGGATTCGTAGCGCGGCGTAGCGCTCACTGCTGCACCACCGCTCCCCGCGAAATAGATTCGACGCACGTACATACACACATGTGGCCGTGACAAAAGCGTGAAGCTGACCGTATATCTTGTGCCATGTCACACGAAGAAAGGACTCTGTTCTAGCCGCCTCCGGTTAGCTTTTGCGTGAACCCAAGCGATCACATCGCTGCTTCGATGAACCTTTTTGCGTAAAAAGTGTAACGTCATTTAGTGATGCTGCTGCGGCTGCTGTGTTGGCAGTGGTACACGAGCACAGTTAACAACAACAACAAACAAGTCAACATATTCCGTGTCAACAACAATAACTACAAATGATATTGCGCCATAACATGGCAAGCCATGACAAGGCCACTGAACAAACAACAACACCACTGAGAGTCCTCAGTCATTAAACAAATCACTTGGTGAAGCTGCTGACGATGCTGCTGCTAGACTGGTAGTGGTGCACACGCGCAATCATAGCCTTGAGGAAGGGCCATCGCCCGAACCGTCGCATATTTCTATTGATTTATTTAAAGGCCACACGGTGCGACTGAGGAATGTATCAAGTGTTCCTCGTCAGTCACTGGTCCATTGCGGCGAGAAATGCACTGTACGTTGAACTTCTTTCGCGCCGTACGTAGTCAACCATGCGAATCGGGGGGAAGGTCAACAACGAAAAGACAAACACACAACAATGGACGTGGGAGCCGCGTGTGACTACTGACGAGGCGGGGAGGTTGGAGCCAGCCTCTGATTCACAACACAGACTCGGCAACTCGGAGATTGGAGCCAGCCTCTGATTCACAACACAGACTCGGCAACTCGGAGGTTGGAGCCAGCCTCTGATTCACAACACAGACTCGGCAACTCGGAGTTTGGAGCCAGGCTCTGGTTCACAACACAAGACTCGGCAACTCGGAGATTGGAGCCAGCCTCTGATTCACAACACAGACTCGGCAACTCGGAGATTGGAGCCAGGCTCTGATTCACAACACAGACTCGGCAACTCGGAGATTGGAGCCAGGCTCTGATTCACAACACAGACTCGGCAACTCGGAGATTGGAGCCAGGCTCTGATTCACAACACAGACTCGGCAACTCGGAGGTTGGAGCCAGCCTCTGATGGGCTCTGCAGGGCTGTGGACAGAAGGTGATCACCAATGCCTGGATGCTTATTTGGAACAGGAGCATCGCTGACATTAATTGTATCATTCCTATTGTGAGTGTGTGGGAGGGATGGGGCTATTTTCTTTTCTTGAAGGATTTTCAAGTGGGGATAAAGTGGCAGCTATTTGAACTAAACAACGTGGATTGGAACCCGAGCTACGAGATGATAATCGAG